AAAACAAAACCAAATCCAGTACCAACCTGTGACTAATGACACCAGCATCTGCCAGCAGTTCAAATATTCGTACCAGCTGTACTCGCAGTATGTCTCGACGCCTGCGCCGCTTCATATTCTAGTCCAAAGACACAAAGGTATTCATTAAGCAGCCATCAGGGCCATGCAAGGAAAACTTGCTGTGTGACTTAGAAAGAACACTGTCAGTAGCAGAGAGTTTGAGACCTCATCAAAATTATTCTGCTTGTGCACTATAGACTGTGAGCACTCACTCAACCATTGCAACAAAAGAGTTAATGAGGTAAACTACATGATACTTTCATATTTATTTGTTTTTGGGTGCCAGTACTCGGGTTTGGACTCAGGGACTGGGCACTGAAAAATACATGGTATTTTACATGATGATACCTCTGACATATGGGGGAAATAAAGATTCTAGTTACTTCTAGGTGATTTGCTAATCTGACAGTTTTATTGGTACCAGGGTTTGGACTCAGGACCTCACTTCACTCTCGCATGGCTGGCTTGCTCAGTTGGCCCTGTAACTACTAGAGTAGGGCCTCCAGCCTGGATTTTTGCTGATCATTTGAGAAGAATATTCTCTTGGACTTTTCTGACTAACTGGCTTCTAACTTCAGTCTTCTAGGTCTCAGTCTCCTGGGTAGTTAGGCTTAAAGATGTGAGTCACCAGTTCCTGGCCTAATCTGGTAATGTTGGAGGAATTGAAAGGATTAGTACACTGCTGTCATTGTATGAAGAAGCTCTAAAACACGTGCAAAAATCTAACAGAGAGGCAGGAAAAACAATCCTGAAGATTTTGTTCATGCCAAAGTTTTCTACTTAATTTTTGCAAAGAAAATGAATATAAACATAAATGAAGAAAAAGTTTTTGCTCACTATGAAATGAATAAATGTTTGTATTGACTAGGGCCAATAGGAGTAACGGCTACAATAATAGCTGTACCATTTCAACTAGGAAACAAAACGGTTGTGTGGTGCAGATCTCCATCACTTTCTCCTCGAGCTCATTGTTTATGAGCAAGTTTCATAAGGCAATTAAAGACCCGATTATGAGCCGGGTGCCAGTGGCTCACAACTGTAAACCTAGCTACTCAGGAGCCTGAGATCTGAGGATTGAGGTTCAAAGCAAGCCTGAGCAGGAAAAACTGTGAGACTATTATCTCCAATTAACCAGAAGTAGAGCTGTTGAACAAGTGACAAAGCCCCAACTTTGAGTGAAAAAGCTAAGGAACAGTGCCTAGGCCCTAAGTTCAAGCCCCAGGATTGGCAAAAATAAACAATAACAAAAACACCTGATTAGTCTTTCAGTATTATGTCCATGATCTACTTTACTGCCTTCCATAAGTAGGACCACTGGCAAATGACCAACTCATTATATTTCTTGCTTCTCTGGGGTCTTTCTAAAGTTGACAGAAATTCTCTCTGATGGGGCAGAACTTCACAACAGTACTTGAGGACTTCTACAATGCTTCAAGTTTTGTTTTGTTTCTACAGAAAAACTGTGAGTCTCAGGCTCCAGAATATAGCTCACATTCAAGGCATATCACTGTGCAGATGGAATAATTTTGTATGACATCAACCCCCACCGCTTTGCCCCAAAATTCAGAAGCATGAATGTCACTCCTATGTTTTGTTTCCTGGAATAAATCATCACATGTGTTCCCAAAGTGATCATTCTGAAACAAAAATCCTATCAACAAAATGGGGTTGCTGCTGCTACTCTTCGAGGTGGATTAAGAGGGGAGTGAGCAACCACCTAGGATGTTCCTGTTTGCAGGACAGTTGTTGTCACCAGCTCCTCTCCAGTTTAAATTCCCTTAGAGATTCACAATTTTAACAGTGGTAATTCTCTAGCAGTGCTCTATACAGGTGCATCTAAGGTCCTTTACAAAAATAGGGTTTTACTCTGGGGATTCTCATTCAATAGGCCTAGAAGTTTGTAATTCCTCCCAAGCCCCTTGGGTAATTCTCAGCACCACCAGTATATCAGCCACAGCAGAAGCTACAAGTTTTTCATAAGATATATGCCTTGTTATATATAGTCCATCTTTTATAAAATTTGCAAATGCTGTTTTTTTCTGACTAGAATGCCTTTGCCTTATTGGTACCCTGGGGTACATGCTTGAAAAAATTAAACTCAAGTACCAGCATTTCCTTGATAATGCCTTTTGTTCTCCACAGGCAAGTCTCTGAGGTTTTCTTCTCTATATTTATGTAACACCTTTTCCTGTAAGTTTATTTGATTTTTTCCTGTAAGTTTATTTGACAGACATAGATGTCTGTCTCACTAAACCTATAGTACCGAACCTGGTACAGATTGTAGGTTTGATTCTAGACTCAGCATCATGCTACCAAGGCAGGTGAACAGGTTTACAGACAGTGAGGCTGGCAGAATTGAAAACATACACCATCTGGTCATTTATTGGAAACTTTTTGCCAACCCCAGCTTACACTCTACTTAAAGCTCTCATATAAGATAGAGAAATTTTTCAATTGGTTTAAATAAAGGTATCTATGTTCTATGTATGCTCTCCTGTGGGGGCAAAAGAATGTACCTGGGAAAATAAAGTTTAACTATGCATTATATATTCTTTTCTCTCTTAATCTCAAGCTTCTGGTATAATACATAGGATACAATGCAGAAAAATAAGTATTAGCCAAATAAAATTCAATGATAGAAAAACTATAGAACACATCTTACCTCTGGCCTTCTTTCAAGTGCTTCTTTAATTATCGGATGTAATTCCTCTATTAATTCCCTAGAAGAAAAATGATATTCTCTTTTATTAATACCTACACAGAATCTAACAAATTTATGAATAACATAATGATATATTTTGATATTAATGCTGATCACATTGTTGTTGTTTTATTTTGAATATAAAATATCACATTTTTATATTATAGAACCACAAATAATGATACAGGCCAACTAATGAACTTACAGAATATTATCAATGTTTATTCCCCATCATTTTGTAATCCACATGTATTTTATGTAGCTGAAACATTATTATATGAGTAATGGTATCATTTGTTCCTTACTCAGCACTAACAGCTACTTTCACATGTCATCAGTGAATATTATTCACTAGAGTGGGCTACCACAATTTTCCTGTTTTCACTAAAATACTGAATCAATCAATTTCACTTGACTTACTTCTATAACGAACAGTGAGTCTAGCAATCACTATTTTCATTTCTGATTACTTCCTCAGGATTAATTTTACAAGTGAAATCATGGGGTCAAAAATAATGAGTGTCTATTTAACTTTCTCTCTAAGTACTGGGGATTGAACCAGTATTTGATAAACAAGTATTCTTAATACTTGACCAACAGCCACAGCCCTTTTGGTTTGCATTTTACTTTTGAGATAGGGTGGCCTAAGTTTGGTAGAGCTGCCCTTGACCTTGAAATCTTCCTGCCTCCTCCCCAGTCACCAGAATTACAGGTGTTCACAATATTCAGCTTTTTAAAAATGTGATTATAAATTTAGTAAGTACTCATTGCATAAGATTCTGAAAAAATTTTATAGCACTAGTAACAAAAAACCAAAATAAACCTATGATTTCTTCATTTATAGAAAACTGCTAACAATCAAGGTATTTTCAGAGTTGAAAGAACTTTTATATCTCAGTTTTCTATTAGCCAACAGTATGTCATAAAATACTTTTCTAAAACTTTATTGATGAAAAAGGAATCCCACATCTATATTTATGATTTGTTAACCTATTCTTTGAGCATGTTAATCCTGAAGAAAAGCACGAACATCAAAGATAATGACATATCTACTTTCAAATACATTTAGGGCCTAGCAAAAAACAAAAAAGTAAGCCTTCAGGAAAAGGAAGAATTTGCTTTATTAATATCAGAAACATCAAGAATTTTGTAAAATATGCATATAATTTTTCGAATTACTGTAATTCTTTTTCATAAGAAGAAAAAAATCTGTGTTAACCATGAGATGAATATCACATTCAGATAGATGTAAATAGAGTTAGAATGTATTAAGGATTTACATAAAATTTTAGCACACATTTATACACAGAAATATTTTTATTTTCGTAACAATTCAGTGAAATGGGCTGTACAGCAGAGTGCGTACTTAGCATGCAAGAAGCCCTGGGTTCAATCCCCAGCACAGAGAAGAAATAAAGAACTCTGAAAAAAAATAAAGTCCTAATTTGGTCAATAAGAATTAGAAAATAAATTAATATTTTGTTAGTTTACTTAATTATAATCTAGACAGATAATTGCAAAAAGGCTGGTATGAAATTATCCTAGGAAATATTCTGCTCTAGTCTCCCATGCCTCTAAGTAATACATGTATTATTTTCATGCAGAGAGAAACCATAAACAATTACCTAAAAGCTCCTGGGTTGGTCCTGCCAAGTCCTAGAACCAGGGATTCTGTGATTTCCATGCTCTCGGAGCGCATCATTGGAACTATGTGCTTAAACAAGGATGAGGGGGATGGGATGCCAATAATCTGAGAAAAAATTATATGTACATCAGCCACTGGTAAAACCACATCCAGTTACTACTGAATTTGACATTTCAACAGCCTTTAGTCAATGACAACAAAGGGATAAAATGATGGCAATGAATGCTGCTTCAAAACTAATCTACAGTATATAGTCTAGAAAAGTTGATGTGTCCAATAGTAACTACAAGTTCAGAACTTGTTTGTGGCTCTCTTAATTTATTAGTGATTCATCATCTACAATAGCCGATACCCCCTGGCCGATACTATGTACCTTTTGATCCATACACATGAATAGAACAAAATTACTTTTAATATAGTCAGCAGTGTTAAAGCAGACACCTGGATCTTAACATTCCTTCAATCGTGCATTTGGTATAACACAAAAACTACTACATAACTGTTCTTTTATGAGTCCCCATTCTACAACAGCACTTAGTTCCAATTTAGGAACTGAGAAGTGAGAGAATTTCAGGGATAAGAAGGAGAAAAGGTTATGATGCCTTCCTTAAAAGTATTTTCTTTTAAGCTGGGCACACCTGTAATCCTAGCTACTCAGGAATATGGGAGCTGAGGATCATGGTTCAAAGCCAGACTGAGCAGGAAGGTCCATGAGATTCCAATTAACCATCAGAAAACTGGAAAAAGCACTGTGGCTAAAGTGGCTAGCCTTGAGCTGAAGAGCTCAAGGACAAGCCCAGGGTAAGTTCAAGCCCCATGACCAAAAAACAAAAACAAAAAAAAAGGATTTACTTTTCCTTAATGAAAATCACTATCTGTATCATTGGTCTCAACCAAAAATCCACAACAGGAAGATTTCTTTAAGTATTTTCTTCTTCAGTGCAAATAAGTAACATACTTTGCAACCAAGTTACTTTATGAAGAGAAATTTATTTCTTCTTTTATTGTAAAATTAGTGTATAGAGGGGTTACAGTTTCATGAATAAGGTAATGAGTACATTTCCTATGGAGCACTGTTACTTCCTCCTTTGTTTATCCCCTAACATCCCTTCCTTCCCTACCTCTCCAATGCCCCCCTCTTTTTGCCCCCCCCCAAGTTGTAAAATTGGTTTTTAACATAATGTAACATCTCATTGTTACAAGGGGTCAGCCTATATCCTTGTTTCAGCATTTTGTTCTTTTCTATGAAGAGACAATTTTAAATACTCATTCCGTGGTGCCCTTTGGATTCCACAGTGGATCTGATAAGACTTACTTTGGAGTCAATGCTATAGCCGCTGTCGGGGGTGGACGCCAGCGTCTCAGGAGGAGAACACCTCACAGAACCTGCAGATGCTGGAGATGACATGGATGTTGCCGCACTGCAGCAAAGAATCAGATAGTTTCTCCACAGGCCAATGTATGAGTCACTGCTTGTGGTTGTATTTACTTTCTTAGCATTGATAGGGCTACTGAGGAAAAAGGCAGCAAGAAAAAAAAACCAGGTTAGTACAACATGTTCCTAAATATAACTAATACTAAATTTCTATCAAATTAGGGGGAATGATTAGCATAAAGGTAGCAATAGTAATATTCTCTAGAATGATATAAGAGATACATGAATAAATTATATGCTGTGTACCAAGCATGTTCCTGTTATGTAAAGACAGAATACATGAAAAGTCAAAGGAGTACTAAGATCAGCATTTTAGTTTTCTTCTTCCTCTTTGAGATATCAATACAGGATACCACACTAGTTACAAGACTTCCAATTTGTATCACTTTTGAAATCCACAAATTACAAAAGTTTACAGGCAATCCATTTTTAAATTAAGACAAGGAAACTGGGCACTGGTGGCTCACACCTGAAATCTTAGTTACTCAAGAGGGTGAGAGCTGAAGATCATGGTTTAAAAGCCAGCCAGAGCAGGAAAGTCCATGAGACACTTATCTCCAATTAAACCACCGAAACAAAAACCACCAGATGAGAAGCTGTGGCTTAAGTGGCAGAGAACTTATCTTCAGCAAAAAAGCTGAAGGACAGTGCCCACCCGAGTTTGAGCCTCAAGGCCGGCACAAAACAAAGAAAATTAAATTAGGAAAATCACTTACTTTATATCAACCTGCGGGGACAACAACTGAAGCCTTGTGTATGCAAACATCCAGGCATAGCTCACAGCTGTAGAACAGTGTTTAGGAAGGTTCTCTTGCTTTAAAAAACTAGAGAGACTTATGATCCATGGGTCTTGGCCTTGGGTCACATGTGCAAATATCCATATGTGCGATGGACTAATCACATCAAACTGGTGGCTAATGGGAGAAGAGTTCCATTCTGCTAATGTCTGTAAATCTATAGAGCTGGGGCAATACAACAGAGTAGTCTAACGAGAGGGGGAAGAGGGAGAAAATGATTATTGAACCTTTTTATAGTTCATTGTCTTAGCATAATAATTGCTTTAAACTAGAAGTAGTCTATTGTTAGGTTCTAGAATACAAGATGAGATCCAAAATTGATGAAAGGGAGTAGTGGATTTCTAAAAACTGAATACAACATACCTTTGTGTAGGTGTAGATGGGTTTTTCTGAGAGTAATGGAAATTTGACAACCTGGGCAAATGGATCTCTCTCAAAAGGATCAAAAAGGATAAGACCCACTACTTAAGAAATATATGAATATTCAACTTTCATAGACAAGTTGAAATTGCTAAAGAGCTAAAAAGTGAACTACTGACATTCACATTGATGTGCACTAACTATGCATGAGTGGGTGGAAGAAACTGGAACAGGCTCTCTCCTCCAGAGGCAACACTCTTAAGTATTTGTTTGATAATATACAAAATGTAAAACTAAAGAAATAAGATTTACCTTCAGAACATTCTAGTCATTAAAAACTAAAAGCAAGTCACCTAATACTCTTTCTGTGTAAATCAGTTTTTATCACAAACAAGATTCTTTTAATTCTGTATACTTTTAATAATCTCTTAGGCTTATAAAATTTTATTACTAAGTTCTCTTGGTTGTATATAATTCATAAATTATAAAAGCTAGCTGTTATGCAGAAAGCATATTAACCTTTTGTCCATGTGTTCCAAAATAGGATGGAAAGAAAAGCCAAGTAGCAAAGTGTGGATATTATTCTTCTATGTGGCTATTATTATTTATCAACTGTGAGTTTTCACAGGGCCACCTTATCTACCCCCCCATCCCCACCAAATCAAGCTAAGAAAGTTTGTGTTAAGTTGAGCTAGAGATGTAGCTCAATAGTTTGGTATTGCCTGCATGTAGCTCTGAGTTCAATGTCCAACATTAATAATAGTAACAACAATAATAATTTTGCCTAACTTTTCTCTGTAATATTTACTGAGAGTGTTTCTCTCCATTTTACTGAGTCAAATTACATACGGCTGGCATAGTACATTCAATTACATAGATGATCCACTGCAATTCATCCATGTGATAAATCAAAAGCATTCACTGCAGTGGAGTACAAGATTTTTCCTTTGAATTTCAACAACTTATTTTCATTATTTTAATCAGTATCTCTGCATCAAAAATTATGAGCTGTTATGAACAGTAATAATCCACAATACCATTAAACTTAAGAGAAACTTAACCAAGGTACAATTATCTTCATTTCTAGGGAATAAAAACAAGCCATAGTACAAGCAAGTATCACTTTGGTGTATGTGTGCACATGTGTGTAGTATGTATGATACTGGGGTTTGAACTTAGGGCCTTGTGCTTGTTAGCCAGATACTTTACCACCCGAGCCACACCTCTGGCCTCACAAATGCCACTTCAAAAATGCTTTTTTATTTTTAAGGCATCTGTCAAGAACATTCACTTATGCTTGTTTGTACATGACCATGTCTACCATAAAGCTAAACAGGCAGAGGGCCTGAAATGGTTACAGTTACCTGATCAGCTCCAGTGAGATGTATGAAGCTCTCCAGAATGGATGGGCTCAGCCTGTCCATTACATCTATTGCTAATTCATCATCACCCTGTAAAAACAAGACATTATGCATCTAAAACATTGTGAATGCTATGCTTAGGCAAAGTAGTCATAGCTGAAAACGCCATTGTGCATTTTTGTTACAAAGGGAACTCAGTGCAGGTGGATTAGTTTAGGTCTTCTCAAGAAGGGTCTTATACAGAGTAAGTTCTGACATTAGTAATGGAAGTGGAATAAAGATGGACAACAGGATGGTTTTTAGTATTTTCATTAGACAACTAAGTGAAAAGCCCAAATCTTACCTTAGGTATTTCCAAAAGTGCAAATAAAGCCCGAATTTCTCTAAGGACACTGACGGCTAATCTCCTAGTGGCAGGTCGGCTGCTACAGAGAATGACAAGTGCAAACCCTTCCACTACATGGAACACACTGGAATATGGGCTCCTTTCCAGAGGAGGGGGATGAGACGCTCCATTAACAACACCATGCTTGAAAAAATTAAATATAATTAAAAAATAGAAATATGCATATATACACTCTAAAAGAAGTCATGGAAATTATGGCTACAGGTCTGCTTTTCTAGAAGTTTATATATTTATTTAATTAACGCAATGTGCATCAACAAAAAGGCACTTCACTGGCAGTGTGTACATGGACAATGTACAGAACTTCTGTTGTCCTCTGACTACCCTGTAACCTTGGGATGAATACTTCTATTATTTCTCCAAGAGGGAACTGGAATGCATCTTTCATACAGTAGCCCAGCATCACCTAGGAGTTTGTTACAAACAGGTTCTCAGTGGCTGGTGATTTGTGTGTACATTAAAAGTTTGTGAGGCTTGGTTGGCTCAGATGGTTTGGCTCTAAAATTCCAATGTTCTGTGATTTATACATTATAGCACTACATGTCCCCTTTTATGGTTAAGGAACCCAAATATTGTAACCATGCAACACTAAAACAATCAAATAATCCAAACAGAAGATACCAAACATTTTTATTGTATAAGCTTTAAAAATATTGGAAATACCCCTAAGTATGATCTAGAATTTTCTATGCTCATTTAAATCTAATTGCTATCATAGGAAGAGGGTTAGAAAGACCAGACAAATCAACTGTTGGAAAGTTCAGTGCAAGGAGTTATAATGACACCGAGAACAAATAAAATTAATAAAAAACAGTGTTTAAGAAAGTAAATGTCGCCGGGTGCTAGTGGCTCATGTCTGTAATCCTAGCTACTCAGGAGGCTGAGATCTGAGGATTGGGGTTCAAAGCCAGCCCGGGCAGGAGAGACTGTGAGACTCCTATCTCCAATAACTATCAGAAAACCGGAAGTGGCGCTGTAGCTCAAGTGGTAGAGCACTCGCCTTGAGCTGAAGAGCTGAGGGACAGCGCCCGGGCCCAGAGTTCAAGCCCCATGACCGACCAAAAAAAAAAGAAAGTAAATGTCTATGAATATCATTACTGGTCATTCACCACTGATCAAAACAAAAGAAAAGTATGGGATGTTCGGTACCTGAGAGTCCTGGTTTTTGTTATGCATCTGGGCTGCTTGTTTCCACTGATTTATTAACTGTACCAGCATCTTTACAGCGTTATCAAGAAGGGTAGGGTGGACATCAGTCACTTCACGGACAATAAAATAAACAAATCCTGAAAGAACATCCTCCCGCCAATCTGGAAAATCAAGCATTAGTGCCTGCAGTGTATTGAAAGCCAGAGCACGCAGTTCTTCATCCATATGAACTGTGAGCCTACCAAGAACAAAATTTCATTAGTAAACCTCAGAGCCTTTCCTACAGTTTTATCATATAAAACTTAAATCTACAGTATTAGAACATATACTTCTTCCTTGTTTGTAAGACAGAAACTAATGTTCACTTTTTTGTGCTATTTTCATTCTTATGCTGGCCTATACTCATTTAAATTTGCGTATGAAATGATTTATATTAGTTATTTTTCTTTTACTATAAGTCAGAATAATGTAATTCTGATCTTAAGAAGCTTAGAATATATATGACATCAGAATCCCAGTTAAAAAAATTCTTTAATCCTTAAAATACTATATATTGCTATCCAATAATCCAGGGATGGGGAACGTCTGGCCTGCAGTCTGAATAAGGCCCAAAAAATAACTTGGTACATGACAAGACAGAAATGTATGCTTCCTGTCAGCTGTTCTTGGCCAGCTGCCTGTACTAGAAATTTGTATGGTCCACAAATGATGTTATAAATATGCAAATGGCCCTTGGCAGGAAAAAGGTTCCTTGTCCCTGCACGATGTCCAATCATATAATATCTCCATCCTCTCTCACATTAGTCTTTCACTATCACTGGAAAGAACATGATTTAATCATTTCTTCCATTCACCTGATGTTAAACATTAGATGATAAAATAAATACCAAAAACTGAGATGGAATCAATTTAACAGACACAATTCTTGAATTTATGAATAACATCATAAATAAGGTATGCAGAGAAAAAGAATGAGTCTACAACACATAAGGCCCTAAAGACAATTTAAGTCTAAACAAATCATAATATGTAACTTATACAAAATAAAATTACTTCTGAAAGACATTAAAATAGCATGAAACCATGAACACAAACCTTATATAATTTTAACATAATATAGAAAATGCTAAGTAAGAAAGCCATTAAACGTGCTGTAGTAATACAACCACTAATCTTTAATAGTATATGAATAAGAGTTACTGATTTGGTGTCTAAAGATGATTTAAATGACTGTCAATAAAGACCAATGCATTAGTGTTACAAGTAGCTTGAATGAATAAGGTAAGGGATATGCCACATGTCAGGTACTGGTGGCTCATGCCTACTCAGGAGGCTGAGATCTGAGGATCGCAGTTTGAACCCAACCGAGGCAAGGAAATCCGTGCAGAAAAGGTTAGCTATTTCCAATTAACAACCAAAATTCTGGAAATGAAGCTGTGGTTCAAGTGGTAGAGCACTAGCCTTGACAAACAGCTGAGGGATGGCACCCAGACCCTGAGTTCAAGTCCTAGGACAAGAGGTTGAGGGTTTATATGCATGGGCAGCTGGGAAGATGGATTGATCCATGATGACAGAGAGGAGGCCGTGGAATGTAGTTGAGGGGACATAGAAGCAAACAGAGTCAGAGAAAGGATCTCTAGTACACACAATGTCTCTGATAGTGACATCATGGGAGATGCTGTAGAGAGGGGAGTAAGAATATTCCTTTAAAGATTTGAACATCCATTAAATCTAGGAATGTCCAAGTATCTTAAACATATCTATGTGACTCAGGAGATACATGGATTAGTTAATTGTAAAGAGGAGATAACAATGATGCCTGGTTAATTAGAAGCAGGGAAATTACTTAACTTCCCTTAGAGACTTCAGCCAAGTGTACAAATTTACAATGCATCTTTGTTTGGCTTGCTTTTTTCCTGTGTTTGTAAATAAAAAAAGATTTAAACATCAAAATTCTAAAGGTTATAGAGGACAAAAGATCTTCCTTACCAGGGAGATAAAGTGAGTATTATAAGTAAAGGACCAAAAAAACAGCCACACAAACTGTCATTCCCTGTTCAGATACTGGTTCCTTAACACGGTCCCCCAAACCTAGCCGCCATAGAGCATTTCCATTCTCGCTGGGACCATTCAAAGTCTACCTTGTTAGTTCACCTTCCACAAATATGTGGGTTTAGGTGAGTAGAAGAAAACAGAAGAGAATTGAACAGTAGCTGTTTATTGCTCTTCCAAAGGTTTACAGAATTCACATGTATGCTAACGTTCATTTAATAAGCTCTGTCATTCATTCCAAAAGGTTCTCCCTATGTACCATAGGCTGCCCTCAACTCACAATCTTTCTGCATTAGCTTCTTAAGTACTAGGATTAAAGGTATATACTACCATACCAGACATGCAACTCTGTACTCTAATTCACAGGAAAAATTAGGAGTTGGAGTAGGAAATAAAACAAGTTATATAACGGTTCAGTCTCTCCTCATAAAACTCACTGAAGACAAATATTATTCTATCTCTGCTTGACACAGCTGAGAGCTGATGTGTGGTTGTATGCAATGGTGGATGTACTTAAGAAGGGGTAGAAGGAGTTCTTGGAGCAATTTATTCGATGTACTCATTGTGGGTTTAGTTTCAGGCTACATGCTAAGTGTCTGGCAACAGTAAACATCTTACAAACTGTTAAGTCTCGCTGCTCCATTCCAGTCACTGTACTTAATTTTCCCTTAGGGGCAGAGGCTGTGAAATTGTGGACGAGGTACTAAATCCATGCAGGGGGACAACATGCCTACAGGAATGCAGTCAATGCTCACCATCTAATACCATCTCTAGGACTGTTAATCCACATTAATAGACATGTGGACTTATTAACAGAAAACCTATTTGGGATATTTAGTGCAACCAACATAGCAGTTTTCAGCAGGATACTACCTCAAATCATTTTGGGAGTTTGGGTGTCAGGTTAATTATTTATTTAATAGGGCTACGTTATACCTGGAACAGAGAAGATAAATAAAAGTCAAAGGATGAAAAATAAAAATATCCCCCGGATGCTATAGGAAAGATTATAGGAGTAAATAATGAATTCCTAAACAGATATAATCACACACAGCTGAGACTCATATGTTAAGAAGTGACTTATTTACATCCTGTAACTACTATATTACCAAATAGAAAAATGGAAAGTTTAAAAATAATATTTATGGGGTGATCTGGAAGAGCTTTAGAAGTTAAAAAAATAACAAAAAAAATAGGAACTAAGAAAATAAGAATTAAATTATTATGGCCTTTGTAATGTTAGTAATAGCAGAAGTATATCATAAATTTGAAGGGACAGTAAAGACCTTAAAACAGCACAGAGTAACTGTTACCTTGCTAACAATTCAATGAGGTCAGTTCTACTCATACCATCTGGAATCAATCTTGGAATCGCAGCAATACAAGTTCTAAACAAATCAATTTTGGGTTTTCTTTCACCCCTGAAAAAATAAAAAAGATTCAAAACTAAGTATAATGTATGTTAGAAAATGGAATTAAACTTGCAAAAATAATTATGAAGATAGGATCCCACCCATAAATATAATTTACTAAAAGAAAGAGTATATAGAAAGCATACAATTCTAGTAGATAATTATCAATTCTTTAACAAATAATTAAAGCAGATATGAAGCAAAAAAAAAAAAAAAGCATTCATTAAATAGAAAACATAGGCCAGGTACTAGCAGCTCATGCCTGTGATTACTCAGGAGGCTGAGCCTTGGAGGATCACAGTTCAAAGCTAGCCCAGGCATAAAAGTCTGAGAAAATTCATCTCTAAAATAACCACCACAAGACTGAACTAGATGTCTGACTCAATGAAGTGTATCGGCCAAGCAGAGTAAGCATGAGGCTTTGGGTTTAAACTCTAGTACTGCCAAAAAACAAAATACAACATAAAAAGCCCCACACGTACAGCAATTATATTAAACATTATTATTTAAACCTACTTAATTATTTCACATATTAAGAACACTTTGAGTAAATAATAATTTAGCCATTCAGATATTTACATAATTAATATTTATAAACAATAGTATGGATGTTACTAGATTTCTAAATATTTGAATTCTTTCACTTAATAGTCTGTACAAAGAAGAGATTCTGAATCAGAAATTGTCACGTCACTGTTGGTAATGTTTCCTCTTGTCCTCCTGGGATATACACACATGAATATACATATTTAAATGTTATATAATCAAATATGCTGATTTTTTAAAACCCTACTGTATTTCTGTGTGGGCAGAGGGTGCTGGAGGAATTAAACCAGGTCCTTGTCCTTGTGCATGGTAAGCAGATGCTTCCCTGCTAAGCTCTATACCCAGCCTTTCTATTTTCTTACAGTTATTTTCTTACTTTAAATGTATAATCTCTTAAAACATTTGTCTAGCTGAGTGGTGGTGGCTCACGCCTATATTCCTAGTTACTCAGGAAGCTGAGTGCTGAAGATCACAGTTCAAAGCCAGCACAGGCAGGAAAGTCCATGAGACTCTTATCTCCAATAAACTAGAAAACCAGAAATGGCACTGTGGCTCAAATGGTAGAGTGCTGGCCTTGAGCTGAAGAGCACAGGGACAGCACCCAAGCCCAGAGTTCAAGCCTCACTACCAACAACAACAACAAAAAAAACCCCAAAACATTTGTCTATTATTTCATGGTAAAGATTTTAGCAAACTTATTTCATCCAAATTATTCTCTAGTTGGTCTAATAAGTTAAACCTTATGCAGAAAAGAATTAGGATGTTCTAAGTTTCCTTTCAGAGATTATTACATAGTCCTCTTCTTTTTCCATGGCCTCCAACTGCATACATTTTAGTTATTGTAGTTCAGTGAAATAATACCAGTCCCCAACAACATGGCTGAACTGCACCTGATACACATTAACTATAATGATACACACTAATGGGCATTAATGTTTGCTGATTATTCCATGAGGCACTGTTCAAGTGACAGATGTACACCATGACCAGTGACCCATCACACCATGTCTTTGAAGGCTGTTGGTGACTGGACAGGTTACATCAACTGTCCAGCTCACACACATAGAAAAATGGACCACTATGATGACCTGCTTATTTGCAAATTGTTAATCAGAAGTGAGGATTGGTTCACAAAGATGGAAGTTCAGTAAAGAACAGAAAAGTGGTAACACTGTAGTGAATGCTTACAATTTTATGTTCTCAGTATCCATTAAATCCATATTAACGTTCTCATTTCACTCTTGATAGTTTCTACTAGTCATCATCTACCAGCTCCTCAGTGGGATCCATCTATGTACCTGTTACCTCCCTATCGGGTAGCCTGGCCTACATGCACCAAGCAGATAAGCTGACCATGGCGTCCATCAGCTCAGCATGACATTCTCGAACGTGTCACTCCTTTCTTTAAACACATCAATTAAAACTCCCTGCAGGAAACATGTTTGAGTAACACTCTGGACCCAATAAAGACACTGGCCTTGGATTAATTTCTCTCTCTTCTCAAATTCTCTGACCTTTTTATGGCAGCCTCCAGGCAGGCTCTGCCTAGCAGGTACAAGTAATGAAAATCTTCATTCATCCTGTGTCTCTCTAGATCATTGAAGAAACACTTTCTGTCTTAAAGACCTTGAACTAAAATGCACAGAAGTGAAATTTAAATTGAGTGTTAATGGAGTTACAGAGAAAGAACTGGTAAGGGAATATTGACAGTGCTGTCATTTGAGATGCTACAAAACAGTCAGGAAAGTATCACTAATGAAAGAAAGATGTCCCACAGGAAGTAATTAAACACACACACACACACACACACACACACACACACACACAAAACTGCCAGGCACCAGTGGCTCACGCCTGTAATACTAAATTACTCAGGAGCCTCTGAGGATAGCCATTCAAAGTCAGTCCAGGCAGGAAAGTCCATGAGACTCTTATTTCCAATAAATCACCAGAATACCGAAAATGGCACTGTGGCTCAAGTGGTAGAGTATTTGCCTTGAACTAAAGAGCTCAGGCACAATGCAAAGGTCCAGAGTTCAAATCCCACAACCGACAAAACGAAACAAAAAACCAAAACACATTAAAGACATTCAAAGAGTCATTACAATACATTAGTTAATAGTAACAACAAATTAGATAACTTGAGAAATCAAATCACCAACTTAGTATTCTAAGATACATAATTCAAATATTTGATATTTTCTACAATATGTACGTAGACTGTTCCATGTAGAAGAACTTATTGCCATAAAATGCATTTTCCTGAGAAGGAAGTTTCTAACAATAAAGAAAAAAGATGCTAGAAGACAATTTCAAGCTTATGGGTAAGATGGAATGAGGTAGTTTCTTCAAAACAAACAAAAAACCATTTATACCCTTCTGTACAGTCTGATTCCAGGACACAAAAATAACTGGTCTATATTTTCAGGATTTCTATTTCTTGGTTAGCAGGACTCTGGAAATAAGACAATTTCTTTGACTTAAAAAGCTGTTCTGAGCCGGGCGCTGGTGGCTCACGCCTGTAATCCTAGCTACTCAGGAGGCTGAGATCTGAGGATCGCTGTTCAAAGCCAGTCCAGGCAGATAAGTCCATGAGACTCTTATCTCCATAAAGCACTAGAAAACCGGAGGTAGCGCTGTGGCTCAAGCGGTAGAGTGCTTGCTTTGAGCTGAAGAGCTGAGGGACAGCACCCAAGCCCAGAGTTCAAGCCCCATGACTTGGGGAAAAAAAAAAAAGCTGTTCTAGCCCACCCGCGAGGACTTATCCATCATTCATGGAGTAAGTATAAGGCCTTGTCAGTCAAATGAACTAGGCTGGATTCAAGGTGAGTTTTATTATCTACACTAGTTTGATGATCATGTTGAAGAACAAAACTGAGCATGTGGGATACACTATCTTTAAAATTATTGCAGAGGGGCTGGGAAGGTGGCTCAGTGGTAGAGTGCTTGCCTTGCATGCTTGAGGCCCTGGGTTCGATTCCACAGCACCACATAAGCAAAAAGAAAAAAAGCTGGAAGTGGCACTGTGGCTCAATTGGTAGAGCGCTAGCCTTGAGCTGAAGAGCTGAGGGAGAGCACCCAGGCCCAGAGTTCAGCCCACAACTGGACCCCCACACCCCCCAAAAAAATAATTATTGCAGAGAGCAATGTGAGAATATAAGGAAATATATGGTAAGCAAGAACCAACTATCTGTACTCTTAGGAAAGCTGAAAGAGCAATAAAGATAAATCATTTACTACGTACGTAATCATATCTTCAGGCTCCTTATTAGACATCTGCACACTAGTCATACACATTGGTCTCCCAACTTCTTTGTCCAAATGTCGGAGAATGCTATCTAGTGCTCTTCTTACTTGAGGATAGTAAACTGACATTCCTAGGGAGAAAAAATCCTCATAATTATAAAATGTCAGAAATTAAATAAAGAATACATAAAAAGAAGGAATTTCTAGTTACATATGCCTTTTGTGATTATCAGCTTCAGAATAAGTGGAGAAACGGTTATTATGGAGAGAACTCAAATTGATTTGAAGGAATTACAAATTTCTCAAGGTATCCTGTGAGAAAATAGATTTGAGAAGACTTTTGACATGAAGATTATGTAGATTATCAAAATGCATTTACATGGTATGATGGTATACCGTGAGATGAACATACTTGGAAAATATATACATTTTAGGTTTATTCATACTTTTTAAAATTAGAGAATATTGAACAACAGTACAAAGTAATTTATTTCAGGTAACACTAACCTATGACTTTTGCCTCTTCATCTGTCAAGGTTTTATTGAGAAAAATTTTCTTTACCCGAAGAGTATTTCCTGAGGGAAGAATCACTCCTGTTGTTGGCATGGGTGGCTCACCATCTTTCTGCTGCAAACTGTCTGCTATTACGAGGAAGACTCTGAGGCCTATGTTCATTCTCTTCAGAGAAAATAGTTCCAAAAGGAAGAAATCAGTGTGGTGCACCAGCTTTCCTTACCTTTAAAACATCTCATCAACTAATTGTGGGGAAATGGAAGGGAGAAGGTCATAAGGTAAACCATGCCACCATGACTTAAAGGATTTGCTCTGGTATCAAATTCTCAAATTTTTATTTCTAGTCAACTGTCCCTTATAATCTCTTAAGATTTATTTCAAACTCTCCATCCTTCTTCAACTCAGTTTGATTCCTCTGGCATACCCCTCTCTTTTCTAACTAGGTAACTTTTCTCCTACTTCACAGAAAAAGAAACTTTTTTCTTAAATATACCATCCATGATCTTTTCTTTGCTTTCAGTCCTCACCCTTCTCCTTTCAACTGAACATATCCTATATCTTGTAATGATGTCCAACCATTGTAATGGAAGGAACACTTCCATTCTTCATTCTTCACATTGCATCCCATTTGACAAAGGCCTGGGCATCAAATATCCCTTTCCCTAAGTGCTTTCTGTGCCACTGCTGGCCATGTCCTCTGTATTTCTTTTCAGGCGCTTCTTCAGCCTAGTTTACATGGATACTCTCTTTCCAGAGTAGCAAGAATTTTTATACCTGTCCTTGTCCTCTCAACTCAGACTAATATGACAACTCCACTTGGATGTCAAAAGATGGCTCAGGTTAAACAGGGTCAAACCAAAAGTATGATCTTTTCCCCAAACTCGACTGCTTGTCTGTGTTTATTTTCTGTACATGGTCTGCCTTCGGTCTGCATCACTAATGTCCTATCTCAAACTATAACCTCTAAGAATAATCTTTTAATGGGGCATACACAGCCCATTGAGTGGGCAAGGTAATACAACAGAACACAGGAGGAGAAGAGAACTCTATTTTTTTCATCTAAATAAGATTAAGACTTTAGGTCTTTTTTTTGGGGGGGGTGGGGTCCGGTTATGAGGCCTGAACTCTGGGCCTAGGCGCTGTCCCTCAGCTCTTCAGCTCAAGGCTAGCGCTCTACCACTTGAGCCACAGCACCACTTCCGGCTTTTTTCTTTTTGCTTATGTGGTGCTGAGGAATCGAACCCAGGGCCTCATGCATGCAAGGCAAGCGCTCTACCACTGAGCTACCTTCTCAGCCCACGACTTTAGGTCTTATAATTAGGTCCTACTCATCTTTGAAATGACACACAGTGACGACTTCCAATAGTATACCTATCATAGGGTCCTGTGTCACAAAATCACAGAATATACTTAGGATGTGCTGGACTTGGCTGACATAAACTCACTTATTCATTTTCTTAGTGTACTGAAATTTGTATATATTAGACTAAATGGGTTAATGAATAATTTTATCTAGTTTTAACATAGTTGGCTTTCACAAGCATAAAACTATACCACTTCTAGTATGAAAACCTCAGTAGGAAAACAAATTACTTTCACAAATTTAAATAAGAAAATATTTTTAAGGGGGGAGGAAGATAGGGTAGGGGGGGCAGGGGGAGGATGGCAAGAGGAAACAAAGGAGGAGGCAACAATGCTTGATAAGAAATGTACTTGTTATCTTGCCCATGTATTGTAACCCCTCTGTACAGTATTTTCACAATAATAAAAAAAAGAAAATATTTTTAAATCTGGAAATCTGAAAATATATTTTTTTGGTTGGAAACTATGTTAAGCATATTACCTATGAAAATACTGGTGTCTACTCACTTTGTTTTTGTTTTTTGGTCAGTCATGGGGCTTGAACTCTGGGCCTGGGTGCTGTCCCTCAGCTCTTTGGCTCAAGGCTAGCACCCTACCACTTCAGCCACAGTACCACTTCTGGTTTCTAGTGGTTTATTGAAAATAAGAGTCTCACGGTCTTTCCTGCTGGAGCTGGCTTTGAACCATGATTCTCAGATCTCAGCCTTCTGAGTAGCTAGGATTACAGGCATGAGCCACCGGCGCCCAACTTCTACTCACTTTGAAAATCTGGAATTATTATTAGTTTTTCTTACAAATCTTACATACAAAAAGCTTCAAAACTTCCCAACAAACTTGTCAGCCACAAACAAATGTATCTTAGGATTCCCAGCACAGTAATTTAAAATAAGAACAAAAGCAACATCTTCTTAGCCTTTTTATAATCTCAATTGTCATTAGATTCGTGCTAGGTGATTATAGAGTATTTCAAACAATGTGAAAATGTAATGTCTCAAGAGTGAAAAGGCAGGGGCTAGGAAGGTGGCTCAGCGGTAGAGTGCTTGCCTTGCATGCCTGAGGCCCTAGGTTCAATTCCTCAGCACCACATAAGCAAAAAGAAAAAAGCCGGAAGTAGCACTGTGGCTCAAGTGGTAGACTTGAGCTGAAGAGCTGAGGGACAGCGCCCAGGCCCAGAATTCAGGTCCCACGACTGGGACCCCCCCCAGAAAAAAAAGAGTGAAAAGGCAGAAGTATAGCATTAAGTATCTTTTTTTCACTGTAAGCTCCACCTGAGTGAAAGGATTTTTGGAATTCACTACAGGAGAACACCAGAAAACACTGAAGGAATGCTATTATTAACATGTACCACAAATATGAATCATTCCAAGCAGAAGAAACCTGAAGTCATGTCATAACTTGTAAGAGCCAGCTGAGCTGGATGGCCTGGAAAACACCACTGTTACAGCATTCAGCCAGTACCTACAAAGCTAAATCTGTCCTGCACCATTTCTGTAGTTAAGAATCATATTTAAACATTAAAAACTCTGACTACAGAAATGAGGCTCAAAGAAGTGTGTGTGTGTGTGTGTGTGTGTGTGTGTGTGTGTCTGTGTGTCTGTGTGTCTTTTTACCTCTGGATTAATGGTGAAAGTTTTAGTAGATTTTCCAACACTTAGAAGATCGAATATTATTTCTTTCATTGCAAAATCCAAACGTTCCTGGAGGGGGAAAAAATTTAGTAAGACCTTGTGCTTTGCTAGTATATACTAAGGACATTTAAGAATTATACAACAATGCAAGTTTCTGTCCTTAAAATGTCCACAAGTCTAGCTAGTGGAAAGAAAAAAATGTAAGAATTAAGTCTAAAAACATACTACTTACTATAAAATTATCTATTCAATATCTAAGCTATTAGTTTTAACATTCATTCACCAAAATCATTTTTAAAACATAAGGAAAAATATTCCAAGAACGAGGTCAGCCAGACACAGGTGTAGAGAATGGTTAGTGCCATAAAGAACAGGACTCAAGGAAAGAGAGCTCCAAGGAAAAGTTAACTAAGAAGACTAACATCTGAAATGAGTCACTGGAATGAAGTGATTAACCAAAGGGAAACAGTACAATGCTACAAAGAAAAATTAGCAACTGATATAACCTAAAGGCACAATTTTCTCTTTTTTAAAATTTAATTTTATTGTCAAGGTGATATACAGAGGGGTTAATTTTCTAAACCTAATCAGTTTGCTTTTATTAATCTTTTTTGATGCATTATACTAATCTAAGGAGCCTTTCTTCTGTGCTGAAATAGAAATATTCAAAAATTTCCTATTTCTTCACTGTTAAAAAATTTCATTATGAATCACCTGTATCATTTCAGTTCAAAGTACATACAATGAATATCCTGGAATCCATTTTTTTAACTGAAGGAATAATCTATTGGAATAGGATATGTCCCAAAAGAGGATGTGACTAAAACCTTGGACTTTCTCACTTAAAACCCATGTAATCCCATTCTAATGAACCTTCCTTCACCAAAGAAGCTAGAATGCTAAAATTGCAGTTCTCAAGGTTCTTTGTGACAGTAGGATTTGGCGTGGTATACTCATGTGACTCTTTGGGAAATGGGGCAGTGGTGACGAAGAGGAAGTAGAAGAGGAGGAGAAGGAAGGGAAGAGGAGGAAAGAGGAAGGGGAGGAGGAAAGAGATGGAGAAGGAGGAAAGAGGAGAAGAAGGACGAAGGAGGAGAAAGAACGAAGGAGGCAGCCACTTCTTTGACAGCCCAGTTTTGAAGATCTCTCCTGACTATGAGGTTAGAATTTGTTTTTTCAGCTCTATTAACAATTCGCTAAGCTCTCACTCCTTCCCTAAAAGGTCCCATGGGGTTCAACAAGAGCGTCTACTATCTGTACCTAAGCACCTGCATTAATGCAGATTATGAAGACAATTTTCTAAAAAATCTTTCAAGAAATTTGGAGATAATTAGAAAGTGGACTAACAGAATTTTTAGACACAATGTTCACTCTTCCTTCTACCATTTGTCTCCTTTCCAACTATACAGGCTGATTACAAACTCATTTTGTCATAGAAAAATCATTACCACTCTGTGTTTGTTTTAGTTTTTAAAAGAACATTACTTTTAACAATTCAATATTAACTAGCGTTTTATTAGCATATGTATAGATCTCTAAGAAAAAATTTTAAACTCCCAATTACTATAGGACTTATTAAGTGATAATGGGGTAGAGCACTCACCTGAGCAATGAACTGAATAATCTTCACAAATATATTAAGAGGTGTGTCACGAGGCACCACACTTCTAGAGCCTTTTGGGAAAAGTGCTGACACGATACTCATTAGGCGACTGCAGGATGGAAAGATTTAGTCACAATGAAATGACAACCTCAACAGCACATTAGCAAAGAATTCTTATTCATATCAGGGCAAATTTATATTCCTTCTCAAGATATGCAACTATAATTCCATTAATGTGATTTCTAACATGATTTTATTAGCTACTTTATTTTGAAGATACGGACTGAACTCAGGGCCCTCCACCTGTTTCAGTGCTTTACCCACTAAGCAACAGCTGCAACCCAAGATTTTGTTCCAAAAGAAATTTAAAACAAAGGCACTCACCTTTGAGTTACAGTGTTGCTTTCACATTTTATTCTAATAACATAAACCCACAACAATCTATACAAAGATTCCAGTGCAACTCGAGACATTTTAGGATCTTTATTCTGTTTAAAAACAAAAGGAGAGTAAAAGTAAACTTATGAAAATACTAGCAATCCTGTAAAATCAAATAGTTTCTATGTTAACAACTCAAGCTCCCCACATTTTTTTTTTTTTTTGGCCAGGGCATGGGTCCTGAACTCTGGGCCTGGGCGTTGTCCCTGAGCTCTTCAACTCAAGGCTGGTGCTCTACCACTTGAGCCACAGCGCCACCTCCGGCTTTTCCTGCTTATGTGGTACTGAGGAATCGAACCCAGGGCCTCATACATGCAAGGTAAGCACTCTATCACTGAGCCACCTTCCCAGCCCCTCTCCACTTTTGTTTGTATTAAAAAAAGGTTCATATATCAAGTAAATATTTAGTAAGTGTTAAGTATACATGGCTCAAAGGAACCAGAAATAATACAATTCCTGATACTCTCAAAATAAACCACTAAAATATTGTTTCTATTAATATTTCAAAGAACTGCCAAAATGACACACACATAAATTACTGACAAACTGCTTATCCTACAATATTAACATCATGACAGAAGAAAAAGGAAACATCTTTATGGTGACTCATTTACAGTAACGATTTTATGTGTTTATTTCCTTTAATTATTTACAAAATAATTAAAACCAGGTACAGTGGTGCATACTCAAAATCCCAGCACTTGGAAACAGAGGCATGAAAACTGAGGATCACAAGTTCAAGGCCAGCCTGGGCTCCATAGTGAGACCCAGTCTCAAAACAAAAAACAACAACAACAAAAAAAAAAACAGGCCAACAGAATAAAAGCTTTGAAAAATGCACTCATCAAAATTATATTCAAAATCACCAGGTGCCTGAGGCCCATGCCTGTAATCTTTGTTTACTCAGGCGGCTGAGATCTAAGGCTGGAAGTTCAAAGTCAGCTCAGGGAAGAAGAGCTGTGAGACTCTTATCTCCAATTAACCAGAAGTGGAGCTGTAGCTCAAGTGGTAGAATGCTAGCCTTGAACAGAGTTCAAGCCCCAGGACCAGCACAAAAAAAAAAAAAAAAAGAAGAAGAAGAAAGAAAGAAAGAAAAAAAAAGAAAAAAATAAAACTTATTGGCTCCTTAATTGTACTAACAAATGTTTTGTTTCTAACAGCTATATATCAATTAAACATAATATTTTAAAATGCAAATTTTGGTAAAGAGTGAGAATTCATTATCTTTTCTCTCTTTTAAGGACATTTCCTAGTGGTCAGTTTAATAGCTAACTTTTGGAAGAACGCTCCTGCTGTGAGCTACTCTTCTTTGACAATAGCTGAAGCAGGTGTGAATAAATACTTTAGACATGCAATACAACAATGGCAAAGGAAAAAAAATGCCACACATAAAAGAAATAAAGCAATATTTTACTTTGTAGCATCAACACAACTCACCTGAAGTGTTTCTATTTGTTTTCTGATACTGTTGTTAGATGGCATCTAAATAAAGCAATGTGAGACAGCAAACATAAACATGAGATGCAGCACATGCATGTTAGGTGAAAATAAGCACAAAACAAGACAGCTCCTCACCAAGGTCTCTATTTAGAAGAAATGTTTTAATTTCCAAAACAGTGGCCGGAAGCACTAAGAAAAAAAAATCCCATATCCTAACAGATACACCTACAACACTCAAACTAAGAAAACCTAAAAGTTAACTGACTAAATTTTTGTTCCTAAAGCTGCATTTGAGTTCAAATTACTAGTTTTTTAAACAGACCATAGGAAAATAATGTCCAAACTATCTTTATAAGATATCTACTCTTATTCTCTCTCAATAATTCTTCAGAAATGGTAAAATAACATTTCACATAAGTACTTCAATTGACATAAAGATATGGAAATGAGAAAATACCAAATTCTGTTTCATAGAAGAATTAAAAATCTAAAAAATCTACAGTAGAAATAAGGAAACACATGTTATTTATGGGCCATTTTTTTCTGGCTACTAAACTAAAAACTTATTTTTTTTAATAAACTGTATATTATCTTAAAGTGTCTACAAAATCCATCATGTTTATTTTACTGACTCTAAATAACAATGCCTCTTTAATATCCCAGAATGACAGCCAACCTTTTCTTAAAATATTCAATGCAGCAACATTCCTTATGGTGTATCAAAGATAAATAACAGAGTAGGCAGAAAGAACAAGAGTTATAAAACTGGGTGAATCTGGATGCACAGCTTCTTCTGTAATTTGCTGGCTTCCTAAACATGACTTGTCTTCTTTCAGCCTTAATCACAATGAAAATTAAATAAGACAAGGAGTCTAGCATCCAGTAGTATTAGTAAAAATCAGTCTGAGGGAAGAGTGGCTCTAATAATAAAAAACAATTTTACATTTTTTAAAAAAATCAAGACATTTACTGGAATAACGTAATTGACTATGGTCCTGATCTTGGATCAACTTTTCCAATACAGAAAAGAAATTATAATTGTCATACTGGTGACTAGCACAATTTCTTCCTTCAATGCTCACAACTCCTTACCTCAACTAAATGAGGTAGCCACATTATCTAAAACTTAAGAAACAGAAGCCAAGTCATAGAATTTCTGCTGAATAGAGCCTTAATGTAAGTTAAGGGTTAATGGCCAAGACAATTATTCCAAATATTCATGCTAAGTGGCTCTTATCTCCTTTAATCTGGCAGATTGATGAAACCATTAATGAAAATGGACAATATGCCAGAAATATTAAAAAGGAGGTAAGGGAAAAAAACAAAACAAGTGCATTTTAAATGAAAGCCTTAAGACAAAAAAAGTTAAGGTACTGCGAAAGGATTGCAAGTATGTTAGGTGGGAAACATATATAAAAAAAATTCCAACAAGCAACAGAAAAGTATGAATTATCATGAAACAAAGCAATCTTCCAGAAACACTTAAAGGCACGTTTTTAAAATATTTTATTCAAAGTATGAAAATCATACTACTCAGAAAGTGATCCATTCTCTTTTAATACCATGGTATAATTTTCAAAATAAGGACAGAAACAAGTATAATGCAATTAATCACATTTCTTTCCTGGTTTTAAGTCAAAAAGAAATTAGTTTAATTTGGTCCTAGGAATTTTCATAAATAAAGCATAGAGGATATATCAACCCTTATCCAAATATGAATATTAATATTTTATATATAGGAGGAAATAGAAAAATTTTTCAAAAACATATATCTCATATATCTGTGAAAAAAATTGAAAAGAATGCATAATACCATCAAAAAGATACACAGGATTACATCCAGTGGAACATTCCCAAAGTACAAGGGAAACAGCAGTCCTAAAGCTCACAGTGCCACAATGAAGCAGAGTGGCCTAGTGAGTCAATTAAACTATCAGTGTTTCCATTTCATGGTCAAAATGAGATACTCAGTTTCTAATCTACCTTTGAAGAATAACAGGAAAGACAATATCATATCTGGACCGTTTTTTACAGCTTATAAGCAAATATTTAAATAGACTCCTTTATCATTCTGATATTCAATGTAGTATTCACATGACATGCAGATGAGAACTACTCCCACTTTCTTTGTCAGACATTAATTGTGCTCCTATCCAGAGAAGAAAAGTGGACTCTGCTAGCAGAGCATGCTGGGAAGAACACAATCTCTCACAGTTTTGTAGTCAATAGAAAAATCAACATGGATGTGCCAAATAGTGTTAGTGACAAGTATCTGGTTCACACAAGTTCTATTGTCTCAGGAGACTTCACATCTGTCTAGCTGGGCTAACATCACATGGAATGTAATTACACAGCCTTACAGTGCATGTGAAGTTAGTGACATTATCAAAGCTCTAGGTGGATTATGCAGACTTGAGCCAACATTACTGAATTTTCTCAAGACAAAAGACAAGTTTATGAAGAGTTTTGTGAGATTTTCATTCAATATTTATTCACTTCCATATGTGATTCCCTATAGAAGAAATAAAGTTCATAAAAAAGGAATGAGGAAAACATAGTATTCAAGTGTAGCAACAGGAACATATAAATATAAATGAATATATCACAGTTGATATTTATGAGTCAGAAATGTAATTATGTCTTACCTTTAAATGTGACAAACAGTTCTGTAGGAAAATATGCCAGTTATTTAAAAAAAACTGCTTCTGACTGACACATAAAAGGCAGGTAATTAGTGGATACAAAGCCTGAAGGAGACAGGGAAAAGAGAGAATTAACATTCTTCATGGAAAAGCACTGGACTTGTTTTGTCTCTGAAAACAAGGGAACTAAATCTTTTTAGGCAGTTTTCCCATTTTTAGTAAATATACCTACACAGGACCATCTAACAGAGATTGGTAAAGGGTACATTTTCTCTAAGAAGAATTCCTTGAACAATCATCTGAGTTAGACTATGTTCTCCCTGGAACATGCTGTCCCTCATCCAACACAGTGGTTTTTAACACAGAACATAGGCTCTGAGGACAGACTGACACTCAAATTCCAGCTTATACTGACCATGGATGGTACTTCAGGGGCTCCAGGTTTTATTTTGCAATACATAAAGTGGATGACAACAACCACAAACATCTTCTGGGGTCATGAGGCTTAATGTAAAAGAAGGCATTCTTAAAGTATTTGACATAATGCCTGGACGCGATCAGTATTTTTATAATTATTGTTGTTGTTTCATCTCTAATTTAAGTAGTGGAACATTTGCCAATTTCCCAAACTTTCTCCCCGCTATAGAAAGATAAAGTGCAGGGCTGGGAAAGTGGCTCAGTGGTAGAGTGCCTGCCTCTCATACATGAGGCTCTGGATTCGATTCCTCAGCACCACATAAGTGAAAAAGTCAGAAGTAGCACTGTGGCTTAAGTGGTAGAGCACTAGCCTTGAGCTGAAGAGCTCAGAGACAGCATCCAGGCTCAGAGTTCAGGCCCCACAACCAACCAAAAAAAGAAGAGAAAGAAAGAAAGGAAGGAAGAAAGGAAGGAAGGAAGGGAAGAAAGAAAGAAAGAAAGAAAAAAAGAAAGAAAAGAGAACAGTAAACAGTTAAGCAAAGAAAATGCCTTCAAACACGACATTATGTTTTACTTCTGTAGTTCTATTTGAGAGCCTCACAACAGGTGGATCAAGGTTCAAGGTCAGCACTAGCAAAAAATTTGTGAAACTTCATCTCAACCAATAAAACCTGAGACTGGTGGTATATGCCTGTCATCCCAGCTACATGGAAAGCACAAATATGATGATTGCAGTCCACACTATCCTGGGCATAAATGTGAGACTGAAAAATATCTTAAAAGCAAGCCAGGCACAGGTAGCTCACAACTGTAATCCTTGGTTCTCAAGAAGCTGAGATCTGAGAATCTTGGCTTGAAGCCAACCTGGGCAAACAAGTCTCAGAAACTCTTATCTGTAATTAGCCAGCAAAGATTTCAAAGTAGAGGGGCTGGGAAGGTGGCTCAGTGGTAGAGCACTTGCCTTGCATGCATAAGGCCCTGGGTTTGATTCCTCAGCACCACATAAGAAAAAAGCCGGAAGTAGCGCTGTGGCTCAAGTGGTAGAGCACTCGCCTTGAGCTGAAGAGCTGAGGGACAGTGCCCAGGCCCAGAGTTCAGGCCCCAGGACCGAACTCCCCCCCCAAAAAAAAAGAGTTCAAAGTAGAGGTGTGGCTCAGGTGGTGCAGTGCCAGATGTGAGTGTAAAGCCCAGTGAGAGCAAAAAGCTGGAGTTCAAGCCCCAGTATTGGCATGCATTGGCACATATGCATGCACACATATGTATATACATATCATTTGTACACACGCATATACACACATCTAAAAGGGCTAGAAGTATTAATGAAATAGGTAGATAACCTGCCTAGTAAGCACAAATCATCAAAAAACAAAATCTTTCAACTTCTAAACAGAAGAGACATGATTACAGAATACTGTGACTTTATTATATATTAAAATGAAGGAATTTGTGATTTAATAAAAGACTACATTCAATCTTTCTCATATTATAAAGCTTAAAGTGCCTGTCAAGTTACTAAGTACCTACAAGAAAATGTGCAATAACCATCAAATGTAGAGTGAAGAAAATTAACAAAAAGTCTAAAATAGAGCAGAAGAAACACATACATTAAATTTGTCCTTGCATTACACTTGGGGGATTTTTTTTTTAACCATTAAAGACTTTGCCATTCTTTTAAACATCTACTGAATTCATAACTCAACTACTAAAGTGTCAAATTATTCATGTGAAAGTTTGAAATACTTCTCAATACCAATGAATGCTTCTTCCTGGAGCTCAATTCGAAAGTAGTCTGATAAAGCATCTCTACGAAATTCTTCAAACAAGGAACATTCACTTCATTTTTAACAGCCTAAAAACAAGGTAATGCAAACAAAAAAGAAGAAAATGGTCACACACATTAAATTCTACAAGGACTACAAGAACTTTCTATATGGACCAAAATTAGTTAATAATTCACTGAGATTAGAGTTAAATCTTATGTACCAAGTGTTAAGTGAACAGGATAAACCCTATCTTTCCAATAGAAGAACAAGTAGAAAAAGACAAACAGGCAGAAAGCGCAGTCTAACAGGTATGGTGACAGCAAGCTCATAGAGCCTCCAGAAGGGAGCCCTTTGGACAAACTCCACCAGGATATGACATCTAAGCCGAAGTCAGCAAATCTACTACATCTGCAGCTGTGTCAGCCTCTTATGTAAAATCTCTGACTACACGTGCCACGGCTGGACCTCTGGGTACTAGCATCAGCCACATGGCTTGCTTATCCTCCCCAGAATAGCCGCAAGATGTCCTCACTTCTTCCTTCTGTTTGAAACATCCTTCCCAAGAATGTAACAAGTCTTTGCCATGATCTGACATTTAACATATTTTACAGCCTGTGCTTGTTTCCAGCTCTTCACACTAGAAGTAAGATCTACAAGACCAGAATGTCTTTCCTATCTTGTCCCTTGCTGTATTTCCTCTGCACAGACAAGGCCCCACCACATAAAAAGCATTTGATACACATCAGGATGGAAGAGAGGTCAGCCAGGGAAAGAGGAAGGGAGGTCATTAGAGAGGAAGTGTTCCTGTCAAAGGGCTGCCTATGTACAGGCTTGGGGTCAAGGGCTGAATTATGTTTTCACAAAAATCAAATGAATTAAACTGGAAAAAAGGTCATTATAGATGTCATTAGTTAAGATAGGATTAGAGAGCCTCTAATCCAGCATGACTGATTAAAAAAAAAAAAAACAAACAGGAAAAATTTGAGCTGGGTACTAGTTGTACATGCCAACAATCCTAACAACTTAGGAGACTTTGATCCAGAGAATCATAGTTTGAGGCCAGTCTACGTAGAAAACTCTTACTCAAGAAACTACTCAATACAGTTTAAAAAGCCATTAAGCCACACTCCCAGGCCAGTTAAGTTTTCTGACACAAAACTATGGGAAAAGTTAAGAAATTACCATCCTACCTGTTCACAGCATGATTACTACAAACTAACTTCTGTGAACAGTCACAAGGCAGCAAATTGGACTTTCAAAATGAAAGCCAAAAGAGTTCCACTTCTCAGTATGAAAATAAACAGTAGTTTTTGAAATTTTAAGCAGCATAAATTCTAGAGAGAAGAATAAAATTAACTTCCATTTCTAGCCAAGGTAAAGGAGGTTCTATTTATTCTACTATCTTAATCAAGAAAACAAAATAAGCCGGGCACCATGGCTTAAGCCTGAAATCCTAGCTACTTAGGAGGCCCAGATCTGAGGCTCCCAGTTCAAAGTGAGCCCATGCAGGAAAGTCTGTGAGACTCTTATCTCCAACAAACTACCAGAAAACCAGAAGTGGCACTGTGGCTCAAGTGATAGGAGCATTAGCTTTGAGCTGAAGAGCTGAGGGACGGCGCCTAGGCCCAGAGCTTAAGTCCCGACAAAAAAAATAAAAATAAAAAATAAAATGATAAGGCAAAAAACACTATCCATCAGCCAACAAAACAAGTGACCCCTGAGGAACTGAAAAGCATTGAGGTGAACTCCATACTGGCCTTGACATAGTGCCTTAACAAGTACTTTAGGGGAAGAAATGGAAGCGTAAGGTCCTAAGGCTTTTCCAACACAGGAATGGTATACAAATTAAATATACTTACAGCAGCTACAGGGATAAGAATCTCCACAAATAAACCAGCAAGTGCATGTTTTATATCTTTATCTTTTACTTCTAAGAAATACTGAGCACATTCCTTAAAGGGAAAATGGTATGTTTAGATTAGTAAGGAAAGGGAACAGATTTTGTAATATTACAATAATTTTCTGAATATTCTTTTATTTTACAAAGAAAAGTTAAAGTCAAAGCAGCCACAGTCAAAAAATTCTCAGTTTGTGAGAACTTAAAAACTAAAATCAGAAATTCATGATGCAATTAATTTATCTTTTAGCTCTTACGAACAGTCATAAAAAATACAAACCCCCTTGTTAGGCTAATTCTAATTTCTACCCCTTAAAAGTGTATCACCTGCATAAACTGAAATGATGCTTCAAAATCTTCTACAGGATACATTTTCACACGGAAAAATTTCATTCCCATTATTAAGCTGATTACACTTTGGACCACATGTGGACTTTGTTCCTTCTGTCGTAGTTCTTTCAATTCTGTCACAAACTTCTTCCTTACAGCCTGAAACCTTTATTATACAAGGAGACAGAATTCTATGTGAATTAAAAACACCAATTTCCCACATGATCTTAAGGATGAAATCAAAAGGTCTGTTGCCTGGGTAACACCTCCTTTCTCTGTCCTTATTAAAATGACCAGAAAAGCACACAAAGGGAAATGTAATTGTTATACAAAAATTTTCCTTGGTTTATTTTTAAACTTAGGAGTTCTTTATTCTTGTGATGTAAATCAGTACAATTGCCATTTATTAATAATAATTACAAAGTAAGGTCAAATGACATGTTCATACAATATCTCGATATTAGTAATCAGTCTCCAGATTTGAAGTCTCTTCTCTAAGTTGGTGATGATACAGACACCAGACTGAGGACTATAATTTTTCAAAGAGAGAAATCAGCCAATTATAGAGTGCCCATTATTACTTAAATCTAATACCTCATTAACCAAAGAGGAGAGAGTACATTCATCTTTCAGTATGTCAGCTACAGAACCAAAAGGTTTTGAGTATGATCCTAGATTCAAATCACAATTACTAAGACTAGTATTCTTTGTTGTACATATGAAAAAGTATGTAATAGTTGATTAATCAATAATTAATCATCTCTATATGCTATTTAATAGTAACATCTTAATGTTACTAGTGATGAAACCAGTTCCTAACAAATAAGGCTTACTTTCCATTTCCATGCTTTCATTGACTAGTGAAGGGAAAAGAAAACAAACATGAACCAAATCCAGACATACAGTAGGAGGGACAACTTAACTATTTTCATTAGAATATTGGGGAATATAATATCATTTCACATTATCTCTATGAAATCTTTTTAAAGCAAATTAAAATTTTTTGTTGAAATGTTTATTTGAACCCAAGGAATTTTCCATAAAATTATTAGACAGTACAGCAATAGAAAATTTTTAGACAAAACTCCAAAGTATCCCAACCCTCTCCCAGCCTTTGCTCCCCTACCAGTCCCTTAAGGCACTAGGAGTCTAACCCAGTCTAACCTACTACTTTGGGTACTCAGAGTCTAAACCAGGATGGAATATCCACCCTTAAGTTACTAGGAATCTAACACAAGGTGGACCAACTTTCCCCCTTTAGGTATTAGGAATCTGATTTAGTTTGGACTCACCTACTTTTCCCTTTGTTCACAGTGCACTCTAATGAAAACATCTCAATTGTGCTGCAGCTCTGTTACAGCTGCACTAGCAAGGCTTATGCTATTCCATCACTTGATTAGCTATTTAGTCTTATATCCTAACCACCTAGAGTTAACCACAATGTGGTATTCTCCTCAATCTAACTTGTTCATGTATTATTTAGAACTTCTGGGCTATGTTTGAGATCACAATTCCTTTTTAATTAAAAAAGCATTCCTCAAAAAAAAAAAACATTCCTCATGTCTACAATTTTATGTTCACAAGCTTAGAGAGTTTGAACTCTATGCTTCTTACTCTTAAGACACAATCCCAGTAGTTTTTTTGCTTCTGTCATTTTTATACTGCCTTGCACTTTTTCCTCAAACCAGCCTCTAACCACTGTCTTCCCAATCTCCGACTCCCAAGCAGTTGGGATTTTAGGCATGTGCCACCATGCCCAACTCATTTGTAAATTAAAGGTTTCACTATCTTTTCCGAAGCTGGCCTCATAACCACACCAGGCTTTGTCTGTGTCTAAATCTTTTTAAATATTCAAACTTCATTCTACGTTCTGTAGCATGGGTTATCCCTTGTATATTAACACATTAAAAAAAAGAAGAAGAAAAGAAATAAAAGTCATTACTTGATGTTAAGATTCCAACTACTGGGCTTGAGCTATGGCTCAGTGAGAGATCCTAGTAAGCACAAGGCCCTGAGTTCAAACCCCAATACTGGTGTCCTTCCCCCCACTGCCAGCAGGATACTAATTATTAAACATTCACAATAATTGTGCTTGCCTTCTTAGAATTTATAAAGGTTGTTATAGGGGAGGGGAATGGTTCAGGGCAAAAGTCCCTTTCAAAGGGACCCAAGTAAATATAATTCTTTTTCTCTTATATATTTCCCAGTAGCAACAAAAGGAAATCCAAGAAATTCTGGAATTTTTAGAGCAACTACAAGCTGCAAACAATAGGATCATGAATCAATACAACTCAATTAGGGCAACTCATAACCAACACTTCAATAAAAGAATCTTGGCTTCATTTATCTTTCCTTGGTATCTCTTCTATCTATATGAAACTGTTCAGTATTTAAGACAAAATAATTAGAAGACACTGTGTTGTAATCTCAGAGATAAAAGAATCCAGCCAAAAAGGAAGGTAGTTAGTTATCAGCTCTTGTAAAGAGCTCTAAATGAGATTTAAAAAAAAATTAACACAGAAGTGTTAAATTATAAGAAATAAGGAAATTTCTGTGTCCACTATTTGTGAAGATGTCTGACTTGCTTAATTCAGACATTTATGAGAAACATCAAATAATTTAAAGCAAGCTGTGCACAGGAGGAATGGAGAGTAGTTGGAGCACCCTCTAAGGAACAGAACAGCAGGTAATAAAAAAGCAGACAACCACGGTGAACCTAGGACTGGATGTCTACTCCATCAGTTACGAAGTATTCTTAAATGTACAGCAAATAAAAATCAATGAGGTAAGACTTACTTTGATTGGGCAAGAACCCCTATGACCTCTGCATATAAATCTGCAATTATATGCACATTCCCAGTGTTGGTTCCTGAATATCTGAAACAACAAAACAAACATACCTCAATAAATGTTTCTTTTTTAATTTCTTTTGTAAATGAGTTTCAAATTTTTTTTGGGGGGAAGGGGGGTCTTGTCATGGGGCCTGAACTCTGGGCCTGGGCACTGTCCCTCAGCTCTTCAGCTCAAGGCTAGCCCTCTACCACTTGAGCCACAGCGCCACTTCTGGCTTTTTTCTTTTTGCTTATGTGGTGCTGAGGAATCGAACCCAGGGCCTCATGCATGAAAGGCAAGCGCTCTACCACTGAGCCATCTTCCCAGCCCTGAGTTTCAAATTTTTTACTAGAGTTATTATATAAATTTTTTCTGAAAAGACAAGAATTTTTTCAACTGATTAGATTTTAATTTGCCATAAAATTTAATCTTCTGGCTCTTAAAAATCTGATCTACAATGGTAAGAAGTATTTTTCTTTTTTGTCTCTCTTTTTTTTTGGTCGGTCATGGGGCTTGAACTCTAGGCCTGGGCGCTGTCCCTTAGCTCTTCCGCTCAAAATGAGTGCTCTACCCCTTGAGCCACAGCACCACTTCCAGTTTTCTGGTGGTTTATTGGAGATAAGAGTCTCATGGACTTTCCTGCCCAGACTGGCTTTGAACTGTGATCCTCACATCTCCGCTCCTGAGTAGTTAGGATTACAGGCGTGAGCCACAAATGCCTGGTTGTAAGAATTATTTTTATTAAATCTTTCCTATAAACAGGAAAGATTCTAATGAAATGGGATGACAGTTGCTTCGAACTCTAAGATGAAATCATCAGTAAATTTTATTTAAAATGTCTCAACCTGGACTATGGAGGGAAAAAATCCTTAGTTGGCATTTTACTTACCCTTCCTTATGTTTAAAGTGCTTAAAAGCTAAGTTCAGAACTTCGTGAACTAAGGGATCAGGTACAGGATGAACAGGAATCTAGAATGTAAAGAAAAATATATAAAGAAAACCAACTACATTATTAGGTCATTGTGAATATTTTCATCATTTTTATTAAATAATCAACTGACTCCTAAGATAATAAATATATGGAGATGCTCCATTTCACTAAAAATAAAAAGAATAAAAATACACAAAATAGCATTTTATAAAATTAAGTCAGCAACAGAGAACAGTAGAGATAAAACAAGAAAGTGAGGTCTACTATGCATTGCTGGTGAAAGTATGGGAACAATCTAAGGAAAGGGACCCAATAATAACCTATGTAGGACGACATAGGTTGTTTTGAGCCAAAGGCAATTAGAAACAGAAGATGTCTTCATAGTAATGAATTTAAAATTCCTTGTTAGAGTATAATTTTTTCCACAGCTACATGAATTTTCTACTGATTATTTAAATTTGCCATGAAATTTAATCTATGGTTCTTAAAAAAACAATCAACAGTAGTAAGAAATATGAAGCTCTTCTCTGAACCAGGAAGTGGAGACTAACATTATCATTTGAGACAGGAATCCAGCATAGAGACTCATCTATACAAGTAAGCCTTAGTAAATAATCCTTTATCTTCCCTTAGTTTACTCAACATATTTATCTTCCTATAACCCACTGTCCCTAGAAAGTCAAGCTTTTTTTTGTCTTACCATTTCTCTACAATTTTGATAAATGGTATATAATCCCTTAGTCTCTTCTTTTTATCTTTATTTCTTTTCCATGAAAGCCTACCTAGTTACAGCTTTTTAATCTTTTGTTGGTGAACACATCTCATTATAAAAGTGTAAAGATCAAACTGGGCACGTGTGACTCACACCTGTAATCCTAGCTACTCAGAAGGCTAAGATCTGCATAATTACAGTCAAGGCCAGTTTAGGCAGAAAAGTGCTCTAGATCCCCCATCTCCAATATAACTAGCCAGAAGCAAAGTTGAAGGTGTGACTCAAATAGAGTACTAGCCTCATAAGTGCAAGACCCTGTTTTATAGTACTACCAGCTCCACAAAAAAAAAAAAAGTGTAACAATTATTTATTGCTAAAAAAACTTCAGAATACTGGCTAGTCAATGAAGCAAATAGATGACAATCTTTTATTTTTACCCTGTATACTTCTCTTTTGAACGACATCATTCATCTCATCTTAAGAAGAAACTAAAAAGGATCTTTCAAGTAATATCCGATACCTATACCAAAGTGCCTAATTCATTTTAAGTAAACTGTAATCAAACCTTTAAAAATAAACTTTTCTTCATTATAATAGCAACTGTTCTTCATTATAATAGCAACAATATAAAGAATAGGGACAGTTAGTTTCTCTTTTGACTTGCTATGTAACTTTTGAGTAACTTTCTTTTTGCTTTCAATGCAGACAATATACAAAATTTATATATTATTAGCTCCAGAAGAAGACATCTGCTATGAGGTGTTAGCAAACTTGAACAAAAAGCAGGATGTGTTTGAATGAGCAGCCTGATGCCTGGAACTTAGTAATCCATGGTGAGATCAAGTGAAGGTATGATGCTTCCATGACCTACTTCAGGATGCCTATCCACATCCAAAATGTGGTGTGAATATGAAAATGCCAATGACCTACTACTTCACATATATAAGAGAGAGTACTGTCTTCTGATTTGTCATAGAGGTATTGATGAACTAAACCAAGACCTTAAATGGCACACAAGCTAGGCTTCCAATATGGGTTGTTTTAAAATGCACAACTAAAATTCGGTATCAAAAGAAGATTGGTTCAGACCTTTCCAATGCCATACTGCTGTTGAATACACTCTTATATATGCAATTTTTTTTAAGTCATGCCGCCAACCTTTCCCTGTGCATTCTAAGGCTTCTGTACTAACAATAAAATTTAACTTTTCCAAAATTACTCTTCTGACTTTTTGGGAAAAAGCCAGTTATCATCCAGAGTTAATTTTGTTCAATCACATTATTTACTTTCATATTTAAATTAAATAAAAAATTTGAGACCTAACTTGTTATGACTAAACTTTAATTCTATTTGAAAAGATACTGGCCATCTCCACTTCATTTCATATAATTGATTTTACTAACAGGAATAAATTTTTGTTTTAAAAGGAAGAATTGGAAAAAATTTAAAAGTTGAACTATATTAGAAAATTTTCACCAACTCACTACACCTAATAATTTTATCTATAAAATGAAAATAACAAATAGCATTTGTTGAGTGCTTTCTATAAACTGAGCATTATTGTATTTATTCCCTTGATTCTACATTTTTGTAAAAAGGGAAAAGTTTGTAGATAATCAAGTTACACAGCAAGCAAGAGAGGGAGCTGAGATATTAATATGTTCCCTGGCCATTTCCTAGGGTTCAGAATGATCTGTTGGCACAAAAGATAAAATGCTCTTTGTGCACAAAGAGCTCTAAACAGTAGTACAAACCTGTAATGCCTGCACTCAGGAGGCAGAGTTAGGAGGACTCTGATTCAAGACTAGCCTGGGCAACTCTAGCAAGACTATCTCAAAAGTATAAGGGATGAAGCACTAGTGGGTCATGCCTGTAATCCTAGCTACCAAAGAGGCTAAGCTCAGAGGCTTGTGGTTCAAAGCCAGCCAAGGTAGAAAGGTTCATGAAACCCTTATCTGCGATTAGTCAGCGAAAAGTCAGAAGGGGAACTGTGGTTCAAGTAGTAGAATGTCAGCCCTGAGCAGAAAAAGATAAAGGACAGAGCACAGATCCTGATTTCAAGCCCTAGTACTGGTACTATTACCGCAAAGTGCGTGGGGGTTTGGGGTGGGGGTGGGGGCAGGAAATGCATAAGAAGCGAGGAAGGGAAGAAAAAAAGGATGGGTGAGTTCTTAAATATGTGGATATTAGTGGAGACACAAGTTATCCAAGGAATAGTCATTTATTCCATGAAGTCAGCATTAAGCCACAAAGAATAGTTATTCCTGAACCACTGTGTATCAGTACTTCCATCTTACAAAAATAAAAACTAGAAAACATATTAACGTGGATATATTATGTAGGACAAAAGTAAAAGTCCTAGTAGATGCAAGATATATTACCTTGACTATTCTCAGGATCTATTAAGCTCTATGTCATCTTGACAGAAGAAAATTGGGTTCATTTGTTGTGATTTCAGAAAGCTCTATTGATTTTTTAACTTCATTTTCTATAGTTTCGGAGAAGCTAAAAAAGACTTGCCTCTTACTCCTGGAAAGGGCTACCAGAATTTTGGAGAATGGATATCTACATTCTTGGTGATCTATTTTTTCCTTGTTGAGTGCATTTGAACTAAGGTATGGACAGAAGTGGTAAATGACAGTAGAAAGGCATGGCTAGTCAGAATAATATGGAAAAATAAACAAAGACAAAGATTCCTACCAGAGCCACTATATTTCTGTCTCACATTTGGAGTCCATACAACCCATGAATCAGAAATGATGTGCAGCAAACTTGAAAAACAAGCCAAATGAAAAAAAAGTTTATAGATTCTGAAGCTTTCCTTTAGCAAGAATTGTGGAAGAAGGAAAAAGAAAAGTAAATGGAGAAGGAAGACTATGGCTATGAGGAGAATGGGGAGGGGGAAGAACAGAAAGTAGGAGGAAGAGAAGCAAAGCAGTTCCACAGGTTTTCCATGAGATGAAGCTCTAAAGCCAGTGCGCAGGTTTCCCATTAGTCAAAGCTCTGAAGCCAGCGCAATAAGAGGCAATTGTTTTGATGAGAAAGGACTTAGTGCTAGTAAAAGAGAAAAGGCATTGTGGAGTTGGATCATAGCAGTCAAATGTTTGGGTAGAGAGTGTGCAATTAGTCAGACTGAAAGAAGAATCCCTATGCTATTTAAGCAAAGACATCTATCACACTCCAACAACTCAACAAATACTACAGATCAACCAAAGAGCGACAGACAAGTCCATTCATGGTAAATTCTGATCCCCGGCTTCTCCTACCCTACTTATTCTAGCTTTAGGATCTTAGCATCCCAACTGAACTTATAGACATGGCTTGTTAGCATAAATCCTGAAGGAAATTTGTTCCTTATATCTACTGAAAACTCTTAGAAAAGGTGTGGGTTAAGGTAATTTTACCTTCAATGTTTATCTCTTTTACATATTGTAATTATTTGCAGAGTTCAGAGTACAAAACACCATTATTTCACATATATAAGAACTATAAATTACTATAATTCAAAAAACACACAAAAGTATGTTTAAAAAAAGACTACCAATTAGTTTTTATGTTTTACATTCGCTATTTATCATCATAAATGCATTCTATATAACAAAACCAAATTACCTATCTAAATGTCATATATGAAATACAACTTCTTTCTTTAGGCTCCTTTTTCTTCCTAAACCACATAATGCCATGACTAGAAATGTAAAGAACCTAATTGAATGATATATAACTTTTTAAAGACTGTGAACTTACAAAAAATCCTTCAAAATTAATAAAAGCATTCATAGACTAGTACCAACATTGCATAGTAAAATTCTAAGATGACACTGACATGATGCATTTTTATTTTCACTATCCATTTCATTCAGATGTAAGTTCCTGAGCTCAGAGCCTGCACCAATGCCAATGCACAGCAGGCACTCTAATGCTCATGAATGAATGCACATAACTCATCATCTGTCTGCAAACTATTTGCACTTGACAATTAAGTCTCACCTTTATTAAATCATCTCATTCCTCAGCTATCACTGCATAATTAGTACATGCTGAAATGCAGCCTGCAGGCTTAGGAAGAGAAATGAAGCAGAAGTAACAAGGGATAGAAGTAGCTAAATGACAGGCTGACTATAGTTAAAGCTAAAACCCATACTTAACCTGATTCCCATTCAGCTGCATCTTCCTAAAAAACTTCATATCTCAGATGGCATATGAAAGGAAAAAAGAATAAGGAAGACTGACAGGTACAGGCAGGAAAGCCCCAGGCAGCTAAAAGAAGTGTAATTAAGTTTGAGGTGTTTAGTTTATGCAAGTCAGAATTGGAGAGGTAAGATCCTAAATGAAGAAACCAAAATATGGAGACACAGTGATCAAAGGATTCAGAAATACAGATTGCAGAGACAGTACTTACCTGCTTTAGAACTTCAACTAAAACTAAACAAAAAATGAAATCTACTGCTAAGTCCCGTCTTTCCAGAAGATAATCTCTTTCTCGTTGCTGTTCATCTCTGAAACAAAAATCCCAAATTAGTATTACAACTGAGTTTTAGGTCATGATAGTTAACTGTGTTCCTAGCTTGCTTGCTACAGGATGAGTAGGATGTTTTTTTTTAATAATCGAAGTAATGTACACAACATGTTCTTTCATTTTAGATACTGAGTATTTACAAATCACTTCTCTATTGTATCTATAAGAAATCAAACCTAATCTAAAAGACTTAGAAAAAAGAAAACTATTTTAAATTGCTTTAGAAAAGGTAGCATTGCTCCAGCTTAAAATTAAGAATAGAAACTAGAGTTCTAACTCTTTGGAGGTGAAAATACAGTATGAACTACAAACCTAAGTTGAAAAGTCACAAATGGCATCTACAAAACTCAATGATGCTAAATTATGGGCAACTGCCTGAATACTATAGCTGTTATATGCCACCCAAAGTCTTTCTGGGATATCTGAAGATGCAGAAGACAAGTTCTAGGATCTGAGGCCAAAAGAGTATCTAGGTTTTTTTCTTATTGTATCACAATTGCTTCCTTCATAAACTATGTGAATATGTCCCTATGACTGTTAAAGCTCCTATGATGGAGCTACTTGGATGGCACTGTGGAGAATAATTTTCACATAGCTACTACTGGGGATAGGCACTGCAGGGGTCCATTTAGTTTAACTGGTACTTCTTGATTTGTAATTTAAGTATGAATCTTCCTTCCCTATTTACTACCATTTTCACAACAAAAGTAAGCCTTGCTCTTTGCTTACAAACCGAAGAACAACCTTCAACAGATAACATTATTACTTTCTTCACCAGAGGTGTTCAGATTTGAGGTAAAACAGTGGAAAAAAATCCACTTACCCCTTAGACTTTGTGCTAGAGCGAGGCCTGTACTCATAAGATTCATCTTCAGTTCCATTTTGTCGTCTGTACCAGTCAAACAAGGTGCGAAGTAAGGAAGGGAGACAGTGCTCTGCTACTGAGCTCATAGAGCTTATCAACTGAAAGACAGACACACCAGAAAATAAAATACAGCATCAAATGTAGTGTAATAACTCTACTGAGCTCATAGAACTCATCAACTGAAACACAAGACGCACCAGAAAATAAAATACAGCATCAAATGTAGTACAATAACTCTACTGAGCTCATAGAGCTCATCAACTGAAACACAAGACACACCAGAAAATAAAATACAGCATCAAACGTAGTACAATAACTCTACTAGATATCATTTGGAAATGAGTAAGCATAGCAACTCAAATGTAGTAACTGTGCTTAAAAAATAAAATGAGAGCCAGGATAGATACATAATAAATTAAAGAGAAAGGTTCAACCACTCATAACTTTATCCAAAACCATTCAGCTGATCTTAGTGGCTTTCAAACTTTTTTTCACTTTTATATGCCACTCACGTGTGTAAAGCTACACCCATCAGCAACAACTCTGACTGTGCACCTAGGTACTTATGGCAGAACTCTTAGGAATACAATGTATAAACAATACCCACTGCTTGTCTCATCAGTTTCTCAGTACTTATGTGAACAAAAGATACCTAACTGTTGTCATTATCTGCCTAAAGTAACTACCATTCAAGGGCTGATGACTGTTCTTTATCTTGAAGATTCCAACTGAAAACTCTCTCTTCATAAGTGTTACTGTACTAATTTAACCCACTGCACATAAAATTAATGTTTTTAAATCATCATGCATTGCTACTGACTTATTTGAAAACTATAATGCAGGTTGTACAAATATTTAAGACTCTGTAAGCTCTATGACCTTAGGAAGAGTCTTTTAATAAAGATAAGTCATTATCTTTAGAAATCAAACATTTTAATTCCCTAACATTTCATATTCTGAATAACTTCCAAATAACTCAAATAACTTCATCCAAAAACTATAGGAAAAGAACAAAGTAATTTATTTGATTATATTGTCTTTGGGGTTTTTTGGTTACTTCTACCTTCTGTTACTCATTCACTTATTATTTTGCCATAATTTATATAGTTTATAATACAAGGAATTAACTCTATTTAACTGTATTTTGAAAATTGTATTTTATTAAAATAAACAGAAATGGGCTGGGAAGGTGGCTCAGTGGTAGAGCGCTTGCCTTGCAAGCATGAGGCCCTGGGTTCGATTCCTCAGCACCACATAAGCAAAAAGAAAAAAAGCCAGAAGTGGCGCTGTTGCTCAAGTGGTAGAGCTCTAGCCTTGAGCTGAAGAGCTGAGGGACAGCGCCCAGGCCCAGAGTTCAGGCCCCACGACCGAAACTAAAAAAAAGAAAAAAAGAAAAAAAGCGATAAAACAGAAATACTCAAAGGAAATCCCCTTTAAAACCTAAAAATAAAAGAACAATGAAACATTTGCTACTGAAAATGCTTACCAAGACAATTTACCTTACATGAGGAAGACAGCTATAAGACATGGTCATTCATAGTTTTTGATAGTTAATATAGGGAGAAAAATAGAAAATTTCCTTTATGTGTCTAATCTGAATCTGAATCATGATTCTTCATTGATTAATGAAGTGTATTCAACATGTGAATAATCTAAGGTTTGAGAAGCATTACCTAAAGTGATCTGATTATAAAAAAGAACTTGGGACTGGAAATGTGATTTAGTGGTAGTGTGTTTGCCTTTCACGCATAAAGCCCTGAGTTGGATTCCACAGTACCACATACACAGAAAAAGCTGGAAATGGCTCTGTGGCTTAAATAGTAGAGCGCTATTCTTGAGCAAAGGAACTCAGGGTCAGCGCCTAGGCCCTGAATTAAAAAGAACTTGTCTGCCTGTTTCTAGTTCCTTTGGAGATTGGGGATGGCTTGCTTAGTGTGTGTCAGCATATCACCTGGAGAGCTGCAGTAAACACAGGAACTATACTGTCATATACCACTTAGTGGTTCTGACATGGTAGAACTTGAGGGTGGGGGTTCCTGGGAAAATGGTATTTAAAGGTACATTCCACTAATTCATCCTAAGTAGTTTTATTAATCCAGAACAAGGACTTCTTTTTTAAGTATATTTATTTTTTGTTTGTGTGGTATCAAGGAATCAAACCTAGGGCTGATTCATACATTCTATATCTAAGCCACATTCTCAGGCCCAGACTTCTTTTCCTTAAGATACAGTTTGAGTAATGTGGCCAGGAATACTAGGTGACAACAGAAACCTAATCTAGGTTTTTGATTATTTCAAATAATCAACATATAATACAATAACTATGATAAAACAGTATTTGAACCAGCATATAATCTCAGCAGGGGAAAAATACTAATATTAGAGGATGTGCCACATGAATTTTTAGATATTTAGAAGCTTTCTGAGAAATTTCAAAGGCATATTATTAAAAAGATTAATGATGAGGGGCTGGGAAGGTGGCTCAGTGGTAGAGCGCTTGCCTTGCATGCCTGAGGCCCTGGGTTGGATTCCCCAGCACCACATAAGCAAAAAAGAAAAAAAGCCAGAAGTAGCGCTATGGCTCAAATGGTAGAGCTCTAGCCTTGAGCTGAAGAGCTGAGGGACAGCGCCCAGGCCCAGAGTTCAGGCCCCACGACTGGACCCCCAAAAAAAAAAAAAAAAAAGATTAAAGTAAAAAGTTCTAAAATGCTAAGTGAATTAAGATTAATAAAGTATATAGCTTATTCTATTACCTGCTTAAAAATAAGCAAATACTAGCTGAGCACAAGTGGCTCATGCCTGTAATCCTAGCTACTCAGGGGACTAAGATTTGAGGATTGTGGTTCGAGACCAACCTGGGCAAGAAAGTCCATGAGACTCTGATCTCCAATTAATCACAGGAAAAAGAATGACGCTCAGCTCAAATGGTAGAGTGCTAGCATTGAGCAAAAGAAGCTCAGAGACAGTACCCAGGCCCAGAGTTCAAGCCCTAGAACTGGCAAAAAATAAATAAAAAGAAACTATTAATTCCAAAAGAATCTACTGAATAAGGATACATGGGCTCATGAAACAAAAGAAATTTTTTTTTCGGGTTGTTGGTCTTGAGCTCTGGGCCTGGGCGCTGTCTCTCAGCTCTTCAGCTCAAGGTGAGCACTCTACCACTTGAGCCACAGTGCCACTTCCGGTTTTCTGGTGCTTAATTGGAGATAAGAGTCTCATGGAGGTTCCTGCCCCGCTGTCTTTGAACCACAATCCTCAGATCTCAGCCTTCTGAGTAGCTAGGATTACAGGCGTGAGCCACCAGTGCCCAGCAAAAGAAATTTCTTAATGTGAGACCATTGGAACAGACCATTATATTACACAATTTCCTTCCAGGAAAATATCTCCCGTCTTCCCTCCAAAACAAAAATTGTTATACCTGGTCAAACTGAAGATCTTCACCCCTCTGAAGAGATCTGGACAATAACTTTTCCTACAATTAAAAAAAAAAAGTAAATACGAAATAGTAGAAATCTTCCATATAATAAGCAGTTTAGATGTAAGAATTGATTGTGCCTTTGTTCCATGTGTTGTTTTAGATACATGAACTTCCACCTTGCTGAATCACAGGACTAGGATTCAAACTTCCCACACAGGCCATACTCTAACAGAAGCGGCGGAATCACAAGATCAAGTTCAACAGTTCTTAGATTGATTACAAGCTAAAAGCTCAACAAAGGTCTTGTTTAGATTGGAGTTCAAAAGTTGCCAGTATGTTTTATTATTCAGTTCACTCATTCACCTAGTATTTAGAGGACAGCAGCCTCCCACGACAATAGGAGCTAGGCTTACAGCAGCCAGATGACTGACTTGGCAGCTGGCTTTAACACCATCAGGTAAATGGTCTTAAGCTAAAATTTGAGCTCTCTGTGTATTCGTTTCCTCATATGAAAAAATAAGCTAGCAATATGCTAGCGCTTTAGGTAAGATGAAAAAAAAAGAGGATAGCAAGAAGTAGTCCATTTGTCTCTAAGCACTGTAACAATTCGAAAATGAACACTATCACCTTCTGAAACTTACTAAAAACTAGCTAGACTGCCTGGAACTATCACCTTAGAAAAGCAGCTTATTTCATCAAAAATTACTCTCATTATGATATGATTTAGATGTAGGCCTGCTGCCAAGTCAATTCTTCTTATTATAAAATTCCATCAGTAGCACTATAGGCAAAAAAAATCTATTCATTTTATGCAGGAACTTTCAACTCTCAACAATTTTTTTAAGTCTTGAAAGTAAACTCTGAACTCAGCCTATCATATACCGAGTCTTTATACTGTAGATAAGCTCTGTAAAACTAGTTTTGTCTTTTTGTTGTTGTTGTATGTGCATTAGGCAAGCACTCTACCAGGTCAACCTGAACATAAAGTGAAACCCTAGCTTCAAATTGCCTCCAGTGGAAAAGGGCTGGGGGTATGGCTATGATAGAGCACCTACCGCCTTGTAAGCACAAGGCTCTGACAGTTCAATTACCCGTACCACCAGAAAAAGGAAATTTGGCATTCTCAGATTACAATATAAATGTTTATCTAGCTGTAACTGCGGGGAGAGAATCTGTCAGTTTCTTATGCCAGTACTGGGGATTGAACTTAGGGCCTCATACTCTTGCTCAGCTTTTTCACTCATGCTTGTCACTCTCTCACTTCAGCCATACCTCCACTTCTGACTTTGTGCTAGTTAACTGGAGATAACAGTCTCTTGGATTTTTCTTCCGAGGCTGGCTTCAAACCTCATGTGATTATTACATTTTAAGTATTAAGTTAACTGGATAGTTGAGTTGTCCAAGCTTATAGAATTCACAAACTTTATAGACCATGATAATGACAATTTGCCTTGTGAAGGTTAAAATGTGTTTGTGACTTCAACTAAGTACTACTATCTCACAAAACTGTGAAATTTATGTAATCACTTAATCTCAATAAAAAAAAATTATAAAAGTAAAAAGAGATACCAGAGAATTGGTAAAGTATTATTTCTGGTGGTACTGGTGTTTCCAAAAGAGATGGACAATTACAATCTGTGCAATGAGGAAGGAACATTCCCTTTTCCAAGTGGAGGGTGTCATCCAATCAGCTTATGATATCTCCCTATTCAACAGAGTTCAAATTTCCTTCTCTCATTATGACCAAACTTTATTTAAATAAAAAAATCACAAATGTATTTTGTCATGGAAATATAAACATTTCCCCATCTGTATGAGAATCATGTTTTAACTAACTTAAATGGGGCTAGGCAAACTTGGAAACCCAACTTTAATCTGTTAACAAGCAAAGGTTTAGGGCTTGTACCAATCACAGAATCCCTTACAGGCTGAACACACTTCAGTTGTTCTGTCCATATAGCCAAACTGTATACCAGTCACGTGGGACATGATGACTCTATAATAATACATGCATCAAATTAACTAGCTCTAAAATTTAAGTACAACAGTGAGTAATATTCTTAGGAAGTCCAGCAGAACACTGTTCCCAAAAGCATCTGATACTTAACAAAATACTAAGCTTTTAAAGGTACATTAAAGAAAACTTTGTATCTAAACTGGGAGCTAGGGTGTGGCTGACAGTTTTCTCCCAACTTATTTGATCCCCATTTCACTGTAAATATTAAATGTTAAGATCTTTAATAACTAAAGAAAAAGCAGTAATAAAGAATGATAACCTTTTCAGAAATTCACTGTTGCCTTACATTTATTACTTTTTATTTCTCAATAATACCATGCTTCCTCAAAAATTTCTAAGATTTAATATCTGTATTGAGCTCTTCCTGAAGCAGGAAGAGGAGCTGGTTTTTCTCCCCATGTGAAATGATTGTGTGTGTGTGTGTGTGTGTGTGTGTGTGTGTGTCTGTGTGTGTCTGTGTGTGTCTGTGTGTCTGCATACCTATCCCAAGACTTGAACTCAGGGCCTAGACAGAGTCCCTGAGAAATTTTGCAAAGGCATTCTACAACTTGAGCCACAGCTCCACTTCCAGTGTTTTGTTAAGTATCAATTGGAGATAAGAACCATGAACTTTCAAGCGTGGGCTGGCTTCAAACTGTGATCCCCAGATCTCAGCCTCCTGAGTAAAGGATTACAGGTGCAAGACAACAATGCCAGGCTTTTAATTTGAAAGAATGCCCACACTTACCATCCTTACAAAAGCATGTACTTAAATGTATTGCGTTCAGCATCAATCACTAGTAAGAACTTTGTTAACCTCTCAGCTTCATTACAGTGTGGCTCAGGCTGTCTTAATCAAGGAAATATACAGCACTCCCCACTTATTGTGGATGCCTAAAACCTCAGAGAGCAACAAACCCTAAAAATACTACTTTCTTTTTCATGTATCAGTTGCAAAAATAACAAAATAGAACAATTACCACAATATACTATAAACAAAGTTACATAATTAGTTTATTTCTGGGACTTTCTATGTTTAATATTTTTGGATCATGGTTGACCTACAGTAACTGACTTTTAAGACACAATAATTTTAAAAATGCTGATGGTCTATGTAACTTACCACTAAAAATAAGACATAGTACTATCTACAGTGACACATTTATATTAAGACTTATACTAATGTTATATGTTATGCTAATAACATAGTGGCATTTTTTTCACAGAAAAACCAAAATGGAGTAAGTGCAAAAATACCAATAGCAGCTGGAAAAAAAACCCTAAATATATTTTCATTTACTGAAATAATATAAAACTGCTAGAAAGAATAAGACTAATTTATATAGGATGATTTACATAACCTTTAGTAGAACTATTTCTAATTTTCACATGGTTACTATTTTCATTATAATATAAAAATAAATGATTCTAACACATACAATCCTTTACATTCTAATTTGTTTTATACTTGTGTATACACAGACTATCAATAACAGTAGATAAAAGCAGGAGAACTTATTGAAAAGATTTTTAACAGTACAAAAACAATGATACTGAAATATGAAGGTAAACTGGAATTAAAGATGGCAGGCTGAACACACATAACCAACATTCTCTCCACTAAGATGATAGTAATATAACTTTTATAATAACAAAATCAAAAGTTCAATGAGAAAGAGAAGGTAAAGTGAGCAAGAACACAATTAACTTACCAGGTGCCAGTGGCTCATGCCTGTAAACCTAGCAACTCAGGAGGCTGACATCTGGGGACTGAGGTTCAAAATCAGCCCAGGCATAAAAGTCCCCATGAGACTCTTATCTCCAATTAACCACTCAAAAACTGGAAGTGGTTCTGTGGCTCAAGTGGTAGAGCTCTAGCCTTGAGTACAAAAGAAACTCAGGGACAGCACTCAGGACCTGAGTTCAAGCCCCACAACCAACAACAAAAAATAAAAACAAAATTAACTCATCTCACTAAACAATGATTCCTAAATAGATAAAAGAGAACACAGAAGTCTGTAGATTTCCTTGGTAACCACTCATATACAGAGTGCTCATCATGGCTGCCACAGTTTTAGGCTCTCGGGACACAGCCATTAGCAAGCTGGACACAATCCCTAGACTCGGTCCTGACAGCTTAGTAAGAGAGCAAAGGGACTTTATGTTATGTTAGACAGACAGTAAGACAGGAAGGTGGAATGGGAACTGAGACCTCAAGAGAAAATGACAGGAAAAATTCAGGAAAATGACATTTGAGCATAACCACTGAGACATAAGCTTGGCCCACAGAGAGTAAAGATAGCCCAAGTGATGCACTGCAAATCCCAGAAGGCTCTCACATTGGAGAAGTTACGTCTCTGTAAGGATAGGAATAGTGAGGATAAAAATAAGGGAGGTTGAAAGACTGTTACAAAAAAAATTGTTTAGGAGAGATTTAGAATCTACCATTCCTTTTATCCAAGCTGACAATCTCTTCATCTTACAGAGGTATTGCCTTTCTTTTTTTTTTTTGGTCGGTCGTGGGGCTTGAACTCTGGGCTTGGGCGTTGTCCCTCAGCTCTTCAGCTCAAGGCGAGCGCTCTACCACTTAAGCTACAGCGCCACTTCCGGTTTTCTGGTGGTTTATTGGAGATAGGAGTCTCACAGTCTCTCCTGCCCAGGCTGGCTTTGAACCGTGATCCTCAGATCTCAGCCTCCTGAGTAGCTAGGATTACAGGCGTGAGCCACCAGCGCCCGGCGAGGTATTGCCTTTCTTAAGGCAGTAAGTTCCAACTAGGCGATCTAACAACTGAAAATGAGGAACAACACTGAAGAAAGTAAGGTTTAAGGCTGGGAAGGTGGCTCAGTGGCAGACTGTTTGCCTTGCATGCATGAGGCCCTGAGTTTGATTCCTCAGCACCACATAAGTAGAAAAGACAGGGAAGTGGCTCTGTGGCTCAAAGTGATAGAGCTGAAGAGCTGAAGGACAGCGCCCAGGCCCAGAGTTCAGGCTCCACCACCAACAAAAACAAAAAAAGAGAAAGTAAGGTTAAGAAAAATGTATATACTAAAATCCCTAGTTGTCTTCTGCCTCTAGCCCCTGATTACACTTGCTAGCAGTCAATGACTAAACTCTCCCACTCTGGGTAGTACAAGAACATCTCAGGGTACTTAGACTAAAAAAAGAGCTGAAATTGCTGGTCCAGATTAGACAATGGAAACCACATCAGAAATCTCTTCCAGCCAAGTGCCAGTGGCTGACGCCTGCAGTCCTAGCTGCTGGGGAAGCTGAGAGCTGGGAATCGTGGTTTGATATCAGCCTGGACAGCTAAGTCCATGAGACTCTCACATCTCCATTAGCACCCCCAAAAGCCAAAAGTGCAGCTGTGTCTCAGATGAAAGAGGCCCAATCTTTAGCAAAAAAAAAAAAAAAAAAAAGCTAAGGGAGAGCACTCAAACCCTCAGTTCAAGCCACAGTGCGTGGGCACGCACTCACAGGCAGCCACGCGCGCACAAACACACACACACGCACGCACGCACGCACGCACACACACACACACACACACACAGCTCACTCTTAAAATATAACATGAAAAAATTGCAAGCAGAAGACAAAACTAATGAGAAAATTCTGCCAAGCTGGTCATACAGGAAAAAAAAATTCTTTAAAAATACATACGTATTTAATACTCTCAAAAAACAAAGTTAATTGTAGAGTTTTTAAAATGCTGGGGCCTACCAGCTACTTAAGGTCTAGATGATCAGGTGATTGGTTAAAGCCATTTTTCTACCTTCTTTTCTAGTCCTTGGCAATCTACAAGATTAATAGGCTAGCAAGTCTTTACCTGGATCATTGCCCAAGATCGATCCATCTCCTTTTAGGAAGAACCTAAAGTATTGAATTGCATAGTTTCCAAGGTGCAATTTCAATCAATGATTGCCCTTCCTCAGTGCTCTTTCTAAAATGAAGCTGTGCTAAATATCAAGCTCAGCTAATCTTCGGCTTCCTTTGGCCTCCTTAACCTCCTTTTATTATGGTTTCTAATAAGGGAATAAAAAAGCCAATTCTCTCATTTTAGTGATAGATTAAGTTCTTTCAGCAAAAGCCACTGACATTTGTGCTTCTAAGTGTTTCTGTAACCTGCTAGCCTGATGGACCATGAGCCCTCCAAGCTCCTTAGACCTGACAAGCTTTGGATGCTGTTGATTTTGAAGTGACTCTGCAATACTATCGTTTGAGAACTCAAGAGAACTCTTTGAATGACTCTAAAGGGTGATAAGCAGAATAAATTTCAAAATAAATGAAATCATAATGGAGGCCCATAAACCTGTAATATAAACACTGCCACAATATTAGATTAAGTGTATCTTTACTATCTAAATGCTATAGATTTCCAATCTACCCAGACCCGGATATAAATGAAGACAAAGCTGACAGAGTTCTGACCTAGATAAAGAGTTGCTGTGGTATATGGAAGTACAAAGGCTGAGCATCTGCAAAATTTGACCAGGATTTGGAATTTTCCTGCTGTGTCAGAAAGGATATGCAGAAGTGCCTCTTCTCTCCAAGACAGACGATGGGATGGACACACTGAGGTACTAATGCAACCCACACCACTACTGCCCATCATTTTGGAATTGTATCTTAACAGATATCTCTGAAAATACCTGTTAAATGAATAAAGTATTGTAGCATCAAACTACTCAAAAGGAACTGAGAAGTTTGATAGGAAAATGATACAGACTCTGGTTAGAACAACAGAGTGAATGCCACAGCAGTGCCTTTTAAGGCTGAATTCAACATAAACTACAAATCTTCAGCCTTACCCTTTCCTAAAAGTATCTACAGCATGGGCTATGCTGCAGGGACCAGGTGTCCCTGGCATCAAGTAACACATCATGTGTACATGTATGTACATATATGTACATCATATGTGCATATAAGCATGCACCATGTACAATTACTATATGGTCATTATAGATACATAATACACATTATGGTAAAATAAGTATTTAGATTAACTAGGACCACTATGAAACACTTAGCAGAAATAAGTGAAGTTGTGAAAAAGAAAGAAAAAGAAGACAGGAGTTAAAAATTTTTTCAGGCTGGGCGCAGGTGGCTCAGGCCTAATAATCCTAGCTACTCAAGAGGCTGAAGTCTAAGGATCACGGTTCAAAACCAGCCTGGGGAAGAAAGTCTGTGAGACTCTTATCTCCATTAAACCACTAGAAAACCAGAAGTGGCGCTGTGGCTAAAGTGGTAGAGCACTTGCCTTGAGCTGAAGTGCTGAGAGACAGTGCCCAGGCCCAGAATTCAAGCCCCACGACCGACCAAAAAAGAAAAAAAAAAATTCAGTTGCAAGAAACATACACATGTACTCATACACATGTGTGCACATACAATAGGACAAAAGTGTATGCAAAAAATATTTTAAGTATCATAACAAATTAGGGTAAGATAATGTCTTATAGTTATAAGCCAAGGTTAAGACCTGGAAATACCTATCAAAAACTTGAATTTACTCCTATGATAATGAGTAAGAGGTCTGAAGAAGAGGTGACAATATTTGTGTTGTACATGAAATAAAACCCACTGAGTGAAAGGATATGGAATGGAGATGGGCCACCTTGTGGCCTGTGGCTGGTTAGAAGCTTGTGTGCTGCCTCATATGATAGAGCCTGAGCTAAACACTGACAAGAACAAAAAAGGAGAATGATTTTAAAATTTAGGTAATCTCATTCCTATTTTCTCTTAATTCTTTCAGATTCTTTACATTACAAAATTAAAATTTCTTTATAGTCTATTTAATACTTGAAAACTGATAAGACCAAACTGCAATGTTTTCAAAATGTGTTATGCACAAGCAGAAAATCACTGCAGCTGGGTGAGGGATCCTGGGTGTTGGTAGATACTCCTAATTTTTCTATATTTTCAAACATCATAACATATTTTAATGTTTATTTTTAAAACTGTTTTCCTTTCTTAGTGTATGCCATTTCATAGGCTACTGGAGCAATATATCACATACTTAAAAAAGAGACCATTAAAAGAGAAAATCAAAGTTTTGTGGATTAAGTGCATTTATGATTAAAACATCATTATTTGGTCATGTCTTTCTGATTTTATAACTTTGTTTGGTGCTAGTACTTTAAGTCAGGGCCTCATGCTTGCTCAACCTTGGCTTTTCTGTGTATAATTGGTACTCTACAACTGGAGCCACACCTTTACTTTTGCCGATCGAATAGGGATAAGAGTCTCAAGGATTTTTCTTCTCAGGCTGGCTTTGGACTACAATCTTCAGATCTCAGCCTCCTGGGTAGCTAGGATTAAAAGTGTGAACCACTGGTATCCAACATTACAATTATTAGTTCTAAAACAGAATTTTATATTGTGCACATGCTGTAAATATATTGGTGTAAAAATCAATAATTTATAATGCAATATATAATGATGTGCAGAGTTTTGAAATGAACATTTGGCCAATGATTTAGTTATCTATCTTAAAGAAATAGATGCTCTCCTCAGTATAATACCTTAATGATCAGAATGAAGCTCACCTTTACAAACAGTAATTTTTTAAGTCTTGCTTCACTAAGAAAATTAAGAGGTAACAACAGTTCCTTCAACTAGGATGTCATCTCCCCTCTCTTCTATCCTGTGAGGAAGCACATAGTCCCTGAAGTTAAGATTACAGTATTGTGCCCATTCCTCACTCTGCCAATCAAGGCTGTGGACTTCAGACAAGCAAGGTATCTTCTGAGTTTCAAGTTAGTAAACACCTTACCCTAATCCAGTTGCATAAGGAACAAATTGATTTCATCTTTTACATCCTCATCTTCATCAGCATCAATGCCCATCTTTCCGCATGCACTGTCATCTTTGTACATAACACGTCTACTCACTTCAAACCCAGAATAACTTACTTACACTGCCTTTCTTTCTTTCTTTCTTTCTTTCTTCCTTTCTTTCTTTCTTTCTTTCTTTCTTTCTTTCTTTCTCTCTCTCTCTCTCTCTCTCTCTCTCCCTTTCCTCCTTCCTTCCTTCCTTCCATCCTTCCTTACTTCCTTCTTTCACTTGCAGTTTTCTGGTGGTTTATTGGTGATAAGAGTCTCACCTGCCCCTTGAGTTCAATATAAATGATGCCAAAATCAACGTTTTTTTATTCATCTGAGTTCTCAAAAAGAATTTTCAACTACCACAGAATTCCATATTTTTGGTTTACCAGTAAGTCAAGCTAATGCATATGAATGAAGTGTCGTACTCACTTTTTCTACCTTAAACATCCATGTTACCTTTTCTAAGTAAATATATTCTTATCTGTTTTAACACTGTAAACCATCTTTAACTTTCACTCAAAATGCCACTCCTATTTGATACTTGTTAAGTTCTATTGATTCTAGTTGTCATTTCTCTTTCTTCTGCATTAATGCCTGAGTTAAATTTTCTTTTATGCCATCCTGAACTATATACAATAAAGAGCCTTTGTCTTCAATCTCTTCTCCTTTATGTCTAACCACTACATTATCCCTCAGAGCAGTATTTACAGATCTTCAGAAGCTAGCCTAAGCCTTTGTTTCTGCTTTCTCTTTCTTCCTCATGCATTACAAGTGTAAAAATATGCCACTGGTTTCTTACAAACTCGAATATAATCTTAGGAACAACTTTCAGAATATTCTAGATTTTCTTTAATTTCCTCTTATGTTTTAACTGGTCTCACAATTCTCACTGGTAAAGTCTATTTTCTGTCTTTTGTGACCTGCAGGAATCTATCAAAGTGGATTCTAAAGTCATTGTAGTTTCCGGATCACCACTTCACTCTTAACCCATCCTTCAGTATATTTTTTAAAGTCACATTATTTCCTTTGAAAATTTTTGTTAATGCAAAAGTCAAAAAAAATTTAGATTTATAGGTCAGCTTTACTCACCAAGGGTTCAGCCATTACAACTTCAATTTTCTTTTCAGCTTGAATGGCAAATTCTGCAAAGAGGCTCTTGATGACATATTCACCAGGCTTGACATCAGGGTCAATCGTAATGTTTGACATGATGATATTCCTTTTTCCCCAAGTAGAATGAAAGTTAGAAGAAGCACAGTATTTGTTTACTTTGCTCACTGCTGAAGCTAAAAGTAAAAGAAACAAAAGAATTCTACATTAATAGATGGATAAGACTGCTACCTTATTTAATATGCAGCCTGCTCTGAACTCCACCTTAGACCACCAATATCAATTTCCTAACTACTCCATGTTTCTCTATTATGCTTGCCACCTAACACACTGCCAAGCATATCTACAATGCAGTTTATTATGTACTGGGGTCTTTTTTCCCCCCTACACTTGTATTGTGAGTTACAAATGAAACTACAGTTTCTCATTTGTCCAAGTAACTAGAACAATGACTGGAATACAGCAGACGCATAAGAAATACCAATTGAGAATATGGATTAGAATCCAATAGGTGAGTGCAATGGAGGAAATAAAACAAATGTGATTAAAAAGAAAAGGAATAGGATTGAAAGATCCAAATATTATTACTTTGGAAAGCTTGCTCATAGAAGAATTCATTGACCACGGATCCTAAATAATTAAGCGTCAGCAAGGCAAAGAACTGAGAATAGACAGCACAAGACTGCTCATGGTTGTTTGAGAAACAAGAAAACCAAGGGAAGAAACAGGGGTAGGATCATTTGTCAGAATGTAAATTATAAGAATCCTTTTAGGATTCATTAATGAAATTCATTTTATTTCTAAATGCAACTGATATTGAGTGGAAAGTATTAATATGGAGACAAACAGGATCTGATCTCTCTTCAAGATTTCTCTCTCTTCCCTGGAGAATGGTTTTGAAGAGGGCAAACAAAATTGAGGGTACCTTATAGAAATCCAGGTGAGATGATCAAAGCCTAGGCTAAAAGGACAGTGAAGGTACAACAAAGAAAGAAAAAGATCTGACATTTGTCATCTGTTAGGGAATTAGGTATCCAGGGGAGGTAATGATGGCTCATGGAATCTTATTTGAATCATTCAAATGATTGTAGTGTCTGTCATCTACTCAAATGGGGATAGTAGTATCTGGCAAGTATTAAGTTGCACTAGACTTGGTAGGAAAAGAGCACACACATCACTGCATGCTATAAAGTTTTACCCCTATCTCTTAACTGTTGCAGAGTATGGACCCTCCCCTCCATCCTCCAACTTCACCTTGTAGGATCTCCTTTGGCCTAGTATACTTAGAGTATTAATGGGAAAAGTCACAAGCTGATACTTCATCTCAATCTAAATTCCAGTTACTACCTTTTTCATACAAGTAACCTTCATCCTTGAAGGGGAGACAGAACATAATTATTCAAACACTGAATTTCTTTGTGTATATATATATAATGAAAGGACAATATATTTGTTCAAAATACATAAATTCAAAACTTACAATAAAATTTTCTATTAAAAAATCTACTCTATCCAATATGCTATGTAGATATACAGAAATCTGTAAAAAAAAATCTAAAGATCATTGCAAACTGTTCATCTTAAAAAATTATTTTTTTCACTCCAAGTTAAATGTATTATGTATTATATTCTAGAACCAAAACTGTATAATAAAAAAATTCAAAACAAAAATTCACAGTTCTTCAAACACAGTGAACATTATTTTACACAATGACATGTTTGTTTACTCTGTATCATGATCCAACATTGTGTATTATTAAGGAGGGAATTCTGTTAACAAATGTCATTGTGGAAAAAGATATCTTAAAAAAATGTTTTCAGTTATTTGGGGTTGTTAAAAGAACTACTGAGACATTATCAAATAATCTGCCTTTGCTAACTTCTACTTCCTTAAAAATTAAGCATAAGCAAATATCTTGAGGTATAATATATTTACCAACAAAGACAAAGTTGTAGGAAATCTTTACTGAATTACTGTCCAAAGCAGAAAAATGTCAGGTTTGAAAATTCAAATACAAACATTTTTCTTACCAAAGTTACAATTATTTGTTTTCATATTATTTCTTAGTAGGTATTAACACATGTTTGTTATATTTAGTAATACAAAAATGTAACAATAAACATGTCTACTGATAGTAATGTCAGGCCACTAAACAATCTAATCACATAGGATGGAATTAGCAAAAATTAATAGAATGGTACATAAATATTTAAAATGCCATTTTAAAAATACCTGATGGCTTCGGTAAATGTTCAAAGTATACTGTTTGATGCAAAAAAAAAAAAAACAACTTCAGAATAACACATCAAAACAATGAAATGTGTACAAAACCAAAATAATGGGCAGAAAAAATATTTGCAGCATAGAATTAAAGAGTTAACTATATTTATTTTCTCTTTTAACAGCTTTTTATCATTGTAAAGGGGATGTACAGAGGGTTTACAATTATATAAGTCAGGTACTGAGTACATTTTTTTTGCAAGTCCTGGGGCTTGAACTCAGAGCCTGTACATTGCCCCTGAGCTTCTTTTGCTCAAGGCTACCACTCTATCACTTGAGCCACAGCACCAGTTCTGGCTTTTTCTGTTTAAGTGGTACTGAGGAATTGACTCTAGGGCTTCGCGCATGCTAGGCAAGCACTCTACCACTAAGCCACATTCCCAGTCAATGGGTACATTTTCTTTTGTCTTTTTTTTTTGGAGGGGGGGAGAGGGGGTCCGGTTGTGGGGCCTGAACTCTGGGCCTGGGCGCTGTCCCTCAGCTCTTCAGCTCAAGGCTAGCACTCTACCAGTTGAGCCACAGCGCCACTTCCAGCTTTTTTTCTTTTTGCTTATGTGGTGCTGAGGAATCGAACCCAGGGCTTCATGCATGCAAGGCAAGCACTCTACCACTGAGCCAACTTCCCAGCCCCAGGTACATTTTCTTTTGAAGTGTTACCTCTTCCCTTATTTTCTCATACACAAAGCATTAGTGGAAATGGACTGAAGAAATACAAACATTCTCAAATTGAAAACAGAACAATTTTAAAAGACAGAACAAACCAAATTAGAATTTAACCTCATTAATACATTAAAGACAATCATCAAATATTCTATTTCCTTTATCAAAATTTTCCATTCTGACTTCATATTTCAGTATACTGCCCAGCTTTGGTAAGGGTATTGTTTTTTAAATGTTCTGGAGAGAAGCCAAGAGAAATCACCCTAAGCAGAAAGAGTAGTTTCCACATAATCATATTAACTTTACAACACTTTACTACTTGAATTAAATATTTTATAATGTTAAATAATAATGTTTCTCTCCATGCCACTATAAAATTTGAAAAATGTATGTACCCTTACAAAAGACATAGGTATTAAAGTATAATTCTTAAGAACAAAATTCAGGCACCAAATTAAAAATAGTAAAAAACTCAATGTTGTATTAAACATCCTTGGAATATAAAACTACTAAGTTTTAACTGCTAATAAAAGGAATAAAGTAAGAACTAACTACTTAAATTTTTAGCATTTCTATTATTTTTGTATATGTTTTTCTTAAAATTGGTTTTTTCCAATAGAAAATAAGTATTTTAGGTGGCCTAACACTACCTCACTATGCTGATTTACTTAATATATATTCAATAAAATGATTATATTCTTCATATTTTTTGAACTTTCATATGCTTGAAACCACAATCTAAATCCAGTCAAGAGAAGAGACAAATAAGGGCAGACCTATAACCCTTAAAATTACACATGTTTAGGTTTAGAACTTCATAAGAGGGGGCTGACAGGTGCTTTTTCTCTGTCTCCACTATGCCCTACAATGTGCTAAATAAAAGCATCCCTCAAAATATATAAAATTCTCAAAAAGTGGAGTATTTCTGAATCCCTGCAAAAAGATATGGTATGAAAAGATCTCAATGGAGTCTTCTGGAAGCTGCCAAGAAGAAGGGCTCACAGATAAAATTTTTTGCTGTATAGTCACAGATGTATACCTACATTCATATTACATGAAAATATTTGAGTGTAGATTATATAATACAGAAATATAACAAGGTACTTTACTTACTATAAATACTACTTATATTGGTTAGCAATGAAAGTATCAATTACCACTTAAACAACAAAATATATGGAGGAGCTCAGTGGTATCGTACTTGCCTAGTAGTATGTAAAAGGTCCTGGATTTGATTCCCAGCACTACAAACTAATTAACTTAATTAAAAAAGAAATTGCAAGCTGGGCAACAGTGGTTCAAGCCTATAATCCTAGCTACTCAGGAGGCTGAGATCTGAGAATAAAGGTTTGAAGCCAGCCACATCAGGGAAGTCTATGTAACTCTTATCTTCAATTAACCACCAAAAACTCCAGAAGTGGAGCTGTGGCTCAAGTGATAGAGTGCTAGCCTTAAGCAAAAGGTGCTCAGGGATAGTACCTTGGCCCTTAGTTCAAGCCCCAGGCCAAGCACACTAATAGTAATCATCATCATCATCAGCATCATCATCATCATGCATAAGGTAAAATAGCCAACAGAAGCAAAATATAAAATATCTGCATTTTAAAGGCAAATTCTTGGTTGTTGGTTTTTTATTTTTATTTTTTGGTTAGTTGTGGGGTCTGAACTCTGGGCCTGGGTACTGTCCCTGTGCTCTTCAGCTCAAGGCTAGCTACCACTCTACCACTTGAGCCATAGTGCCACTTCTGGCTTTTTCTGCTTATGTAGTGCTGAGGCATCGAACCTAGGGCCTCATGCATGCAAGGCAAGCATTCTACCACTGAACCACTTCCCAGCCCTTTAGAGGCAAATTCTTAGTTTAAGAAAAAAAAAAGGAATGCACTGATCAAGATATATTGTATTCAGAATCTACTTTGTTAAATGACAACTTTTTTGTACAACTACTTAAAGATAATAATAATCATAAATTTATGCCAGTGAATTATTTCATGTATACCAAAAAACTGATTCCAGTGTTTCTACAGAAAGAGAAATGACCTAGAATAGACAAAAAATATTGAAGGGGAAGAATAAAGTCCTGACACTACCTGACTTCAAGACATATTATAAAGCGACAGTAATCAAGACTTTGTGTTACTGGCAAAAGAATAGACAAACAGATCAATGGAACAGAACAGACAGCCCAGAAATAGACCTACACAAATACAGTCAACTGATCTTTGACAAGGGAGAAAA